TATGGTAAAATTTCATTGAGATCCATTCACTTAAACTCAAGTATGAGTGCGAAAACTAATGTGTCTTCGGACGACGACTTTTCTCTGACTTTTTTCCGGTTTAGAAAATACTCAGATTTCACCTTGAACTCTTTACGCTTATCAAATTTGACGGAAAAGCAATAATCAGCTGCTTGCATTTGGATCGCAATCATCAACAATGGACTATTAATGTCATTATGAAGGTGTTAATTGTATTGTTAAAATAAAATGTGTGGTAAAATAGTGATAGATGTCAACCAAAAGATTGTTTTACATCTTTGATAAAACTAATTGTTTTGAAATTTGTACTTCACAATCATTTCAGCGGTGTACCTGTTTTAAGAATACAGTTTTTTACATCCCATTAAACAATGGTCTAGAAAAGAAAACTGTTGTTTTGAAGAAAGGGTCCAACAGTAAGAATATCTGACTTTTTCTTTGTCCTTCAACAGGAAGTATCAAATAAACTGATTGAAGATAAATCCTGTGTTCAGAGAAGTCAAATTTTACACTATTATTTAAAAAGTACTATAAGGAATTTTGTTCTAATATTACAAAAAATGTTATAAAATAGATATATGCAGAATCATAATAAATGAGACAACAATGTTGCAAACTGATTTTTTTGTTAGCAAGAAGGGAAACTAGTTCTTAACAAAAATATATTTTATCATAGTTGTCAAAAAAAAATTGGAAGTGGCGAAAAAATATTGTTTTGGCGAAAGAGGTGGTAAAAAAATGTTCAACCCAATTTTACTTTCGTTATCAGATATACAAATTTGCAAGAAATCATAATTATACGACTTTTACCAGTCAGGGGAACTACTTAAACAAGTGATTTCATTATCACCTATTTCAGTGATTTGATAAATTCAGTTATCACCTATTTAAGTGATTTTGGTGTTTCCTTTGATCTTCAAATGCTAACTTCACTGATTTTTCCATATTTTGACAAACTTTTCTATAATTTTCCTACATAGAACTAATTATCCCTTTCTTATGTATATTAATTTCACCAGTGCCCTGGGACAGTAAGTTAGTGTGCTAAAGCTTTTAAAAGTACCCTTGGGAATTTTTCTATAATCAAATATTCATTAACTACTCTTACTATCAGACAAAGGTCAACAAAATTAGGTAACCTGATTGGTTTTCTTTAGAGTTATAATGATCTACTTCAAGGTTATGTCCTGATCTACAAATTATTCCAGTTTTTGCATATTTTAAATAAACTGTAAAAACTGACAGTCTATTCAAGCAAAAGACAATTTCTGCATGTACATAGTTGTTTTTTCAATGGAATTCTTGTCTTTTTACCAATAAAAAAGGCAAGCTTGTGGGAAAAATATCAAGAAAATGTTATAAACACTTGTTGAAGTGATTACATTTTAACTTCTCAAATTACTAGTTTCAGTGATTTTAAAAAGTCAGTGTCTACTTTTGTGAAAATTTTTAATATTTCACAGCCAAAATCACTTGAAGAAGTGATTCTGAAATCACTTGTTTAAGTAGTACCCCTGACTGTTTACTGAAAATTATAATTAAAAGTAAAACAAACGTACGATGCAGTCAAGTAACTCCGCCCATATAAGGCTTTTATCTCATGTACTTCTGCTTAATTATATACAAATTGTATCAAATTTAATATAAATCGATTCACTGACAAATCAATTTTGAGTGGTTTATCTCATTTCTCAAAAAATATTTGACATAAATTTTAAAATCAACAAAACAGTGGGTCATCTATGTTTTTATCGAAAATGTGTTTGTCCGGCAAATCCGCCCATGCACAGTAAATATGTATAGAGGGCCAGTTTATCACATATTTATGAAAGGAAAAGGTGATCTATTAATAGATCACTTATAAAGGGATTCCAGATAATCCAAAAAAAAAAAAAAATTTCAAGTCAGAAATGTTTTGTAAGCAATAATATGATAATCTTTAGCTTCAGGAACTGTATTATATATATCACTAGATATATTCGTAATAAAGGATTTTTCTTTAAAATTTGACATGCAATGATGTTAAGTACAGTTCCTATGAATAAAATAGCAGACGAAATATTCATGGAATTGACAATTACGGATGTAAATGGGAGTGGGCGGGTTTACCGGACGTGCGGAATTACCGGACACTGCTGTCATGACTGTATACAAAATCCACTTGTTAACTACCAATAACCATTGAAAGCTCATCAAGTAGCACCTGTCTCATATGAAATTGAATGACAAAAATTCTGTTGTGATAACACCTGGGGCTATTATACTAGTATAAAACTATAATAGTCCCAGGATACACCCCCTTTTTTAACACTTGATAATTATTTTCCTCCCTGTTCATCAGATCCGTGTTATGCTTTCATTGAATGTATACTTATGATATCTTATTGTGTTTTAAGTTTCTTTTTGTGCATATTTACTCTTTATAAATTCTTCAGAAGGAAAGCTATCACAACATGATGTAAATAATGCACATGGATTTGTCATTTCAGTTACCGGAAGTGTGAACTACGTCACTACTTCGGGTGTTTAAATAGTTGCTGAGGAACACATATGGCCGCATCCTGCGAACGTATAGATTCTGTTTTGTTTTGATGCTATCGCAAATTAAGAAATAGCAATTTTAAGGGAATAAAAAAGAACAATTAAATAATAATGATGGACGTTGAACCGCGACCAGAAGAAGTTGGTCAAATATTGTTGAAGGTAAATAAATTAAAGTGACGTTTCACCTGTACCCTGTTGTCAAACGGTAGCTCTTATAACAGTAGAGGGTGATTTTCTATCCATAGACATAGGCATGAATATTTTATTCAAAGTTGGTGCAAATAAATACAAGTAATATAAGCACTGTAGAGCTCTGAACTAAGACAAGTTCAACATTTCCGCTCTAGAATAACTCTGCATGTAGCTATAGACGACACTCAAATTCATGCATTTTCCCGTACATTTCCTACATCATTATGCTTTTGTTATAACATCACAGTAAGAAGTGCTGAGAATCGCTTGTTCAATGACGTAATATACGCTAATTGACCTTGGGTCAAACGGTGTAACTCATTCATAAAAAACAACTGGAGTGTGTATTAGTAAATTAGTATGCTGATGATGCACACTTTGTATGATGCACTGTCAATGTAACAGTTTACGTCAGAACATCAAGTTTATTTCAATAGTACGAATATGTATTGACATGACACCCAAATGATTACCATGAACGTCTTTTGTTACTAACTCTGAAGGGATAAAAATCGGGATAAGAAAAAAATGTCAGGCTGGCTCAAATATTTTTTGGAAGCCATGCCAGTAACCCTGGCACAGAATTTGATTGAATTTATTTTAGGCACTATTGGCTAAATAGTGGTCAATCCCACTTTATGGAATGTGAATTTCAATAATTAAATTCACAGACTTCTGTCATCTGAATTTCAATTAGAAGTATTCACTACAGCTAAAATGCAACAAAATTAACTAAAAACATAACATATCTGTTTATTTACAACCAGACAAAAAAGAAATTGGTGAACTTCTGGTAGGGACGTGTATAATACCGGATTCTAACTCGGTGAACACACAATTTTTTTCAGGATTTTTACAATCCCCCCAAAAAAAAGTGGCCAACCTACAGACCCATCCAGTTACAAATGTACATCCTTTTTTTCAGGATGTAACTGGATTCACACATATACTTTTATTTGGCTTAATAAGACTTGACATGTAAATGTATGGGACTGCTGAAGTAAATTAACTCTTGTATTTTCACAGGATATTCTCATAATTTTAAAGGACAGTACCAAGCTTGTATTTGTTTGGTGTTCACAACTTAGTTTCTAGTGCCCTTGTTGAAGTTTGTACCTACAAACAGAAATACATTTCTTTACTCACTTTTTTAATTATATCACTGAATGAATTGTTTGGGAATAAGCTTTTATGATTTAGTGCATGGTCAAGGCCAATAGGTCATGAGATAGTGTATGCTAATTGATGATGCCTAATTGAAACCAACTATTCATTTATCTCATAAGCATTTATACCAGATCCTCTTATTTTTATATTAATAAATTCTGTACTGCAGAAGTTTCCATATGCCTAAACAACATAATTTCAGATGGATTTAATTTTTTTAAGGGTTACTTCATGTAACTAATGTTAAGGAAAGGTTTTAAATATGAGATTGATTAAGGTAAGCTAGCCTCAAGATTACTTGGATATTATTATTTTTCATAAAATTTACATCTATAAGCCAACTACATCAGGAAACATACATTTTGTACTTCACTTGCAATGTGGAACAAGCTTGTAAATTGAATAAAGAATTTCACAGCAGCAACTGAAATGCATGTACAGGAGGTATTAGTCCCGCTATGCAGAAAGCTCTAGTTGTTATTAAATTTGTCATTAATTGGTTGCTGTCTCATTGCTGTATACTGAGGACCTGCACATTTCCTTTTATTCAAAATTACATATATATTGAATTTTCCAACAAATCATTCAAATGTTTTCTAGATTTCAAAATTACATTGATATAGTTAGAGATAATAAAGATTTGCAAAGTACATGATACTTGCAGATTATGATCAAAAGGTTTTGATATATGAACTGATCTTTCATTTGATAACATATATATAGAATTACTTTAGCTGAAATGGAAACCTTTCACGATTTAACAGGATAAATTTCATTGTTTATAGTCAGTTCAATCGATCAGTGAGTGCATTCATTATTGTAAATTACTGGGCAACCTATTGAGGTTTTTATAAGGGATATTAATTTGGGGGAAAATGTATATTTTGTTTTTTATTCAAAAGGCCTAAATATTTGATAGCTATATTTATCTTTTTATGGAAAAAAATATTTCTTCTTCCTAAATATCATTTATAATAAATCATATTTATATCATAAACAAAATTAACCCTGATGTGATCCCCAAATAGAAAATAAAGTTTTCTAGTGTTTGTGTCATAAATTTCCAAACACAATAATTAAGATAAGCAGTTATACATTCAAAATATTGGTTAATGCTGTATTTCATTAATTTATGGATTAAATTACCAAATTTGTGTGCCTAAGAAGTTTCAAAAATCTTTTATTTCAAAAATGTCGGATGTTAGTGCTGAAATATTTAATTTTCTAAAGAAACATGAAACATCTACTCCCGAGACCAAACCTACTGTTAAAAAGTCACTACAACCAGGCAAAAGGAGATCACCATCTAATGAAAAGCGAAAAAGTTCTCTTTCTGGTTCACTTAAAGATTTGCCTGTCAGTGTCAAAGAATCTGATGAAACTGACTCTAAGGAATCAAACACCGAGCCATTGGCAAAGAAACATCCGTCAATGTTTGATAATGAGTTAATTGCCTCTTTAAGTAAAGAACCTTTGGTTTATACACACCGTGTGCAATCATTCAAGCCTATGTTTTATGAGGAAACACTTGATGATAATAAGATTTACAGTCATCAGAGGGAAATGCATGAAATATTAAAAAATGTAAGTTAATTTGATTGGAATACATTAATTATCTATTGCTGGTATTTGAAATTTTAGTTTACATCCATAAATAAAGATGGGATTTGTATTATTTTTGTTATATAAATATTTAAGCTTTTTATTAATGTGGATAACAAAATTTTAACTGGAAATTTCTAAGAGTCAGCACAACATTTTAAATGATTTTTATTTGATTTTTAATTCACAGGAAATCCAATGATAATAATAAAGATAATTCCATCTTTATACATCTTTATTATTATCATTGCATTTCCTGTCAATTAAAAATCAAATAAAAATCATTTAAAATTCCATCTTTATACAATATATATACTTTTTTTTACCAGCTGACCTTGTGGTATTACATTGTACATTAAAAATATGCCTGGAAAAATCTTTCATGAATATAACATGATATATCATGTAAGCATTCATTATTTTTAAAATTGAACCTCAAGACTCATTGTTTTCTTTTGAATTCTGAGTCTGTATTCTGGTATTGAAATTCATTTTGTATTTATAAATTCAAACAGTTTTCCCCGTAATATAAAGCTCCAGAAGTTATCTGTTGAGAAAGCTATTTCAGAAAGCAAACAAATGTGTTATTCATTTGTAAATGAGGTTTTGTCAGTGAAGCCATAGAGTGTTAATGAACAAGTACTCAAATTTTTATAATTGCATTCAGATTTATGTTCACATTTTGTGAATTTAAATGAACAACATAAAAGGTATTCAGGAGTAAGAATTTTTGTATTTAATATTTAAATAGATGCATGGTATTAAAATTAATAAGTTTTTTTTTTTTCTCTGGTTAAACCTGGAATTTAATTTAATATGAAATGGATGTGATTTTATATACATGTACATCACTGTTTCAAAAAACGCATTTGGTGTAGATAAACTTTTCTGTAGGCATACACAAAAAGAGATTAATTGATTGTTTGGTGCTTAACGCCACCTTAGCACATACATAAAAAGACTGCTTTTGGTTGATAGCGTTGGTAACAATGGAAATCTTATATATATTTACAAATAAAGCTATGTTATTATACTCTGCTTCCCGTACAGACAGAAGAAAAAACTGAGGGCAACAAACTAAACACTAATTACATTAACACCTTCTGGTATTGCTAGCAAGAGGTACATTAATGTATATGTGTCTCCATTTAATAAATGAATTTTGCCAGTATTTCATTTTCACTTATATAATTTAATTTTGGATTTAACACGTCTTCTAATTGGTTGAAAGTGTTTTGTCTATCAGCTTATAGACATAATTTTGTCATGTGACCGTGACATCATCAATGTTTTTATCATGATTTACTCCTTTTTAGAATTAAATTATAAGTAATGGCTGTAATTTTTTTTTTGTCTATTTGAAATAACCTAAAAAATGTGGTGCACACGTTTGAATAACCGTTACACGTGTTATTCAGTGTGCACCACATTTTTGATGTTATTTCTTCATAGACTGAAAAAATATGACAGTCATTCCTTAAATATTTTTATTTATTTTTTAAAAGAGTACACAACATGTTGTTAGAAGTTAAAAACACCCAATATATCCAGAAAACTTTATTATTGATCTGCATATGATTAGTTAAGTGGTAGATAAATATGTTAAATGGACTAAGAGTTGAAGTTTAATACAGAATTAAGTAAAAAAAAAATAATAATAGCAATTGTCAATATTGAATTGGCATATATAATATGTAATATCAATAGTTGGTTATTGTTACATGTATACTGCGAAGGAAATAGATTGACCTTCCATTTAACTGTTTACTTGTGACTTGCTTCAATATCAACAAAGGCTCTTAAGGTTGACTGGGTTCTACTTGAATTAAAAGAATTATGCAGAATTTAACTTTTCTTATTACAATGCCAACAACTGTGACAGAGTGTTTACTGTGATCTGTGTAGCTTGTTTAGATTTTATAATTTCATACTAAACATGAAAAAAGATATTTGTTTTGAACCAAACCTTTCACATTGTTTAAAACAACAGCAAAAAAACAGACATAACAAGAAAACAAAAAATTATTGTACATGCATACATGTATTTGTTTCCGCAATATCAACAATAAAGTAACATTTTGTTGAAAAAATATATAAAGATTTTTCCACTTACCTACCCAACTGTGGACCATTAAGGAACAGGAAACAAATGTATTTTTATGTTTGGCCTTAACTTAAATGGTGGTAAATCTGTCCTTTCTGCTGTTTCAGCATGTTATGATAGGCATATTAGCAGAAAAAATCATTTGTAAATGAATTGTAATCTTTGAATTCAAAGCACCACCTATTGTAAGAAAATTCATATTCTGCACTGTTTTTCTGTGTGAAAAATTTGGGGCAATTTATATATTGAAAAGGCAAAAAAGTGCAACGGTATTGATCAGTCATCACAAGTTATAAAATAACCTTGTTTTTTTGGACTTGTGGGATTTTGATAATTTTTTTTTTAAATTGACAATTAGAAGCTAGTCTGGTGATAACTCAAGTTTTCTTTAACTGATCTTTAAGAAATACTGGGATGATAAATTAATTGACTACAAGCTCCCCTCTATCATTTTGATGATTTACCAAATTGTCATTTAAGAGTTATGGGATATTATTTGTCAAAATATTGGCAATTTTTTAAACACAAAAATGTTTTGCACAAAGTCCACTTTTTTGTTATCCCATTTATTTAATTACAATCTAAAAACCAATAAAAAAAAATTACTCCTTTTCTATTTTGACAATTTTCAGATTTTTTGTTCTGGATTTATGGGACTTTTATAGTCAAAAGAAATGGGATGGGCCATCATGGCTTTATGATCTATAAAGCTCCTGTTTATTACAAATTTAATCTCAAAAATGACTCTTTGCTGGCTTGCACAAAATTATAGCAACACGAAATGGTACCTGTTATGTGTGATTACAGCTGTTATCCTAATGCTAGCAAGTTAAAGGTTTGGTTGGCTTGCTTGCTTTGTTTGTATTAATGTTTGCTCAAGCATTGTAATTAAGATTGACAGTTCTGCAAACAATATAAGAAGGCGGAGTTAAACCTGTATATAGGTAAATTTGATTATTTGATAATGTCCAATCAAATTTGAATATAATGCATACAAGTTTAACTCCACCTTTTTATATTGTTTTCAGATGGCAATCTTAATTACAATGCTTGAGCAAAAACATTTATACAAACAAAGCAAGCAAGTCAACCAAACCTTTAACTTGCTAGCATTATGCTAACAGCTGTAACTCCTCTAACCATTTTTAGTCCAGATGTTTGTATAAATATTTTGAAGCAAATTGATCACAGTCACTTTTTGTGCATAATTTTTTCTGATTTTCAAGATGTTGAAACACAGAAAAATTTCAGACATATTTTTATTGGATATTATATGTGGTACCCATTTTGTAATATTTACTTGCCGACATTTTTCAACCCAGACTATTCAAACTGACTACAGTGTTTGTCAATATATTAAAGATGTGCGCCCTCTTTTTTTTATTATGATCATTATACATGCCACATATGTGCTCCATACTCTGTTTGTATTTCATTGTTTTCAGTTTACGTTAACTTGCATTCTGATTTTATTTTTTAGGTACAAGATGATTTAAGACAACTGCGTGAGAAGATTTCCCAAGGAGATACTGCCAACATTAACATACAAGATTTAGAGAAAGCATTATCTAAAACTGAAGAGGGTTTACAGGTGAGATTTAATATATATGTTCCGGACCATATGAGTATTTGGACCATATGCATATATACTCATCACATGGTCCGACCATACGCGTATTGTCCGGGTAATTAACCGATGATGAACGTTGAGAAGGTGTTGCATAAAAATATCTATATATGAAATTTTGACTTATTCAGTCATATGGCAATCAATATTACATGATTAATAAAATAAAGTGAATTTTACTTACAAGTAAGAATTATTATAATTGACAAGTAAGAATTATTATAATTGTAAAAATCATTTTTAAATGGTCACTATCGATTTGTCCTTACCAAACACAATATGTCAACTTTGGAAAATATCTTCAAAGAAATTTTTAAATGAACTGTTAAAACAAGAAGTCACAGGAACTTTGGTCATTAAACTGTCTTTCTTTTCTTTTTTCAAATTTCTTTTTGTGTTTGAATTTGTTTTTATAAATTAAATTTCTTAAATATTTCAAATTGTTTTAGTATTTTAAATGAGTTCTTGCTTCTACTCATACGATCGTACAATAACAGTAAGATCGTATAATTAGGAGCAAGAAATCACCAATTAAATGAAAATATGTCGAAATAAGAAGAAATTTTGTTTCTGATATAATGATTTAAACATTTCAAAAAAAGAAAATAAGTCCATGTCTCAAACGCCAGTAGTTTCAATTACGAACGCAAAAGTCTACAGGAGAAAGGCGCGTTAAATTGATTCTAGCAAAGGCCAGATAACAGTATATATTCATAGATTCAGACAATATGTAAAATATAAAGGAATCCAGTTACTTACTTGTGTCGTTTTAAGTTTCGAAGAATGAGTGTTCCTCCGAAGGAAGCTACAATTTATTTGCAAAATACCTATATGGTCTAAATACTCATATGGTCCAACCTGTTCATAACCAAACGAGTATAATACTCGTACGATCCGACCATACGCTTATGGTTCAAATACTCATATGGTCCAGAACCTATACACATTTTTTAAATAGATTTATGCATGAACATAGGCATATATAAACTAAAATGTATTAAATGTTTTATGATATTGAAAACTTTATTCTTTTCTCCATGTGTTTCAGAAAAGAGAAAACGTTTTTTTTAATGGTTTTTCTGCCATTTAAATAAAGAACTACCTAGTAAAAATAATTATTTAAATATATGGGGATTTTTTGTATTATTATAGTGTAATATATAATATTACAAATAATCAAGGTCTCTCAGTACCATCATTTTTTGTTTAATAATATTTATATCATACATATTCTGGTAATAAATAAATGTAAAAAAGACTGCCAATTAAAATGTTTTGTAAGTCATCTATAAAATTTTTTGACAGACAAAAACAGAACAGATAATTAACCAGTACAATAATCAAGTCCAGACTTTACCTTATGCCACAGCCAGTAGATTTGACCAGAATGTATCTTTAGAAACCACGTTAGATTTAAGGACACATAGCAAAGTTGATGATGTTAGAAGAATATCTGGTCCAGTTTTTCCAAGGTTAGTCCTGTCAATGTCAAAACCAATTAGCTCAAATGAAAGTTAATAAAAAAAAACCCTGATATATAGGGTAGACATCAATGAGACAGAAACCCAACAATTTGAACAAAGCAAAACCAAAAAGACTAGTTTTACTTTTATGAAAAGGGAATGCCTCCTCTGGCTTTTATTATATTGAAAGGGAAAAATGTAGTTTTAGTGTATTCAGCACCATTACCCATTTTAGTAATCTGTCCTAAAGATGGTTATAATTTCATTAATGTTAACGTTGCATTAACCTGCATCCACTTTAAAGTAAAGGATATTATATATTTATATAACACTCAATAAAAACACTTGAACCATAAAGTTTTTGAATGTATAAAAAGCAATGACAGTGAATCGCACATCTCCCTTTTTTATAATCATAAACCTTGTTAAACAGACAAGACTTATCAATGAGATATTTTATATTCACAAGAAAAACTGCCATATATTTACAGAGAAAGGAATGTACACCAACCACAACCACCTTCTGGGTCAGGAGCCTTACTTCCTAAGAGGCAGGCTGTACAAGTGTCTGGTCCTACTCCAGGACAACAGGTAATTTTTTAACAGATTTAAACTAGGTAGTATTACAATGCAGACATAAGCTAACTGCTTTATTTATATAAAAAGGTTCATAATTACTGTAGTTTTTTTTGCATTTATATGAACTGTTTTGAATAATGAACATCTGAAACATTGTTCTCTGACGTCATTTGATGTTATCAACTGCTGCATTATATATTTTTTAAATGAAAATAGAAGAGCCAGAGCACTAGAATTTTTGTTTTATTCTACCTACTAGTATTTTGCATATGAAGAAGGTTTTATGTATTTTTTTTTTCTACACTTTGGAAATCTTTAAATGTTTGAAAAGAATTACAAAGGTTAATGTTAAAGTCTTATTTGAGTGTTTCCTTGAATTTGTTGCAGTTTTGGAGTTATAAGTCTAACTAGAGATCGGCATTTGTATCAAATGAATTTTGAGCAGTTATGTCCTGTTAATCTTTATTGTCATTGATGGTGAACTTAAATTTGACAATAGAGTTCATTTCTTATTTCATTATATTTTAGCTTTAAGTCTTAGAACCAAATTAATATGAATTAGAAAGCTCAATACATGTTTAAGTGACAAGTAAAATCTACATCTTTGGTATTTATATCTCCTGCACTATTAAATAACTTTGAGTCATTTGTTTTTAATGTGACATATAGGATTCCTTAAAAAAAAATTGTACAAATACTTATCAACATGCATTTGAATTAACTTGATTTTGATTGCAATGCTAATTGTTCATAGGCTAGTGTTTCATGAGCATTGTTACATTTTAGGCTAGACATGTGCTTACACTGAGGACTGTATTGAATCCACAAAACAAATATAACAGAGATTCATTAAATGACAACTTTGGTATAGTGCTACCACTCATTCAACAGAGAAATAAATCAAAGGTTTGTTATACTGTAGTAGACAACTGTCTTGGTTCCTGCTACTTTGCATGTCAAGTGTGGTAAATGTTTTATAGATTATCGATAGTTTTTCAAAGAAACGGTTGTTTCTCAGCTACAATCTTATCGAAGGGCAACATATGTAGCGAGAAACATTCTCAAGTATGAAGACCATTGATAATCTGTTTATCACTGTTTTCCTAGGCAACATCAATGACATATGTTCATAACATCATACATATCTTTTTCTGGACTGAGAAAAACTATGCTGTTACCAAGGGTAAAAAAACGGTCATATTTGCCAGACATGACCTAAACTAAAAGGTCAATGGCCGAAATGGCAAATTGGGATTCAGGTCAAAAAATTATTTTTTTTACAGAAATAATTTTGGTCATTTAATTGCAATCAGGTTTCTTAATTGAAAATTTTCACTAAATTTTATTTTGAAATGGTTTCACTGATAATAAAACTGCCACTTGAGTCTGAGGGCCCTCCCAATAATCATATTAATGCTTTCGGGAGATATTGGCTAGTGATTGCTAATCACATTTTACATATAATATTACCCACATCTTCATCTATTCATGAATATCTTTTAATATGATATTGTAAAGTAAGTTATGATAAAAATATTTACCTTTAATTCAACACAAATAGATAACTTTTAGTCACTATATTATTATAAGAAGAGTTCTTTCCTTTGCAAAAGATCTTCAATAATTATACATCTATTAAAGTAAAAAGTATAAAATAGAAATTGGTTTATTTTATATATGTGATATTTTTACTTTTTCCAGCCATCAGGAAAGACAGTTTTGGGTTCTACTATTGAACCATTAGCAGTATTACCTAAGGCTAACAGAGTCGACACACAGGTAAGTAGTATTATTGTTACATTGTATCAGAATTTACATTGTCAAAATTTAATTTCACTTTTGTCTTTTTTAAACATAAAAAAGACAACCTCTATATATATATATATATATATATATATATATATATATATATATAGAAGTCTATAAAAAGGACCAACCAGCAAATTTACTATGTACCGGATCGTCTAGAATAGACGATACTGTGCAGATAAGGAAAAAATTATATAAGTCTAGAGATTTGCACAACGATACTAATATAAGATGGTATTATACGAAGATGTTGTTAATAAATCGTGTTGACAAATATTTCGGCTTAACAAATAGCCTTCTTCAGTGTCAATTATTTTAACAACATCTTCGTATAATACCATCTTATATTAGTATCGTTGTGCAAATCTCTAGACTTATATATATATATATATATATATATATATATCGTCTTTCAACACTTGAAGCTGGATGTTGTGGATGCGATTTAAAGTTTGACCATAATTCTTCTTTCTTAGGATAATTTTTATGGGAATGGAACCAATTTTATTATCATGCAGATTAATGCTAGTTCCAGACACAGTTTCAAACCATCCATTAGGAATTATATGAAGTGTTTCATAATTTGTCCAATGTGAAGACTTAAAGACATCTAGATTTTGACCCCTAAATGGAACTATATTTTTCACAAAAAAATCACCAAATAGGTATGAAAGACCAAAGTGAATATTAAATCAATGAAGAAAACTTAAACCATTAAAAGTATATCATGAAGGAATTGTTTACAAAAATCTGACCAATAAAGCATACTTACAATCCTATAAGACTTTAATTCCACTTAAATGTTATTATGAAAACTCATTTGATTATTAAAATTAAAAATAATTATCAATTAATCCAAAAATTTTAGATAGTCTATCACTTTTCGAATTTGACTAAACAAAATTGATCAATTATTTACAGCTTGCCCCACCAGCTATAACAGAAGATGATGCTAGAAGAGGTATACTGAGTCTGATAGAGAGAGGTCTGATACCTCCTGCTGCCCAGCTGACATTAGATCCATCTCCTGTCAAAAACAAATTAGTCACTCTTCATGATCCCGTGGACAGAAATAAACCACCTCAACAAGCAGGTATATATATATAATATCCAAACAGCATCTGATTTCTATTGTTATTGATGGATATTAGTTTCTACTGTGTGTAAGGGGTTTAATCAATATTGTAGAAAAATTGCTAAAAAAACAAGAAGAAATGTTAATTCTCTAGTAAGAAGTTTTTTGTTTTTTTTTTGTTTGTTCTATCCCATACCAGACCAAACCAAATACTTGAAAATTGGATCATTTGCTGCTACTTTGCTAAGCAAGTAACATTAACAAGTAAGAGCAAAGACTGGTCATCTCAGAGTGGGGATAATGTGGCCAGATAGGGTGACATGAATAGCTGTAGACTGTTACCTTGTGAACTAGCAAGTTAAAATTCTTGCATGTATATCATGGTGGTCTCAGGGGTGTGGAAATATTTGTTGTGAGCACTTGTCCCTGGGCAAGTTAAACTGTAAATGTTTACTTGTCCAGAAAAAAAAGTTACTTGTCCTGAATTTCCCAATAAATATTGAAGTATTTTACAGTAAGCTTGTATAATTCTTAAAACTGTTTTGTATCGCAATATAAATGATGTTTGTAATATTTGTTTATGTGTATAAATAAAAGGAGGTATGGGTTTAACATCAATGAGATGGAAACACAAAAGTTAAACAACCAAAAAACATATAGAAGGCAATTACTGTTTTGTCCATTTCCCCCAGACACCTGTTTAATTTTACTGTTTTCTTTCATCTGACAAGCTTGGTGTTTTGCAGAACATTGATGATCACATTCAAATTGCATTTAAGAGGTAGCTGTATTGTGTTTGAAGCTTGGCCTATGTAAATCGTGGGGTTTACTATCGCAAATTGAGTTTACCTAGTGATGCATAGCAGAGCTTTTAAATGGATATTTGCAACAGTAAACCTAGTTTTACCTTGTGATGCATAGCAGAGCTTTTAAATGGATATTTGCAACAGTAAACCTAGTTTTATGTTAGCCAAGCTTCAAATACAATACACTTATCTCTATTCTAAGGCAAACTAAACAAATCAGTCTATTTCAGACATTATTTTGATGAAAAATTTCATCAAACAAAAATTCTGTGATATGGTGTTATATGATCTTTTGCAACTAAACAAGGTGACATCATATGTATGCTTCTGGTGTCAAATATAAACACCAGGCATTTCAGGCTTCTTGTACGCCTCAGAATGTAATTAAGTTACATGTATGTAAAAAGAACCTTTTTAGGTGGAAATGTGATTTTTTTATTCATTATTGGAGAAATAACATGTCAATACATTCAAGAATTCAAAATGTTGGCTTCCCTTAGCTACAGACAGGTAGAAAGAGGATTTTACGCTTGTCATCTAATCAGAACCATTGATACAAAATGATCGCATTAGAATATAATGTTCTTGACTTGATATTTTCCAATGGATGTTAACCACCTACCAATTTATCCGTTCATCCTTGGTTGAATTCCTGAGCACTGTACAGTGGTAATTTCTCAACAGATAATAGACAAATAGACAAATAGAATGTAAAGACAATGTTCAGCTTAGGTTGGTTAATCAGTGGTCAACATATTCTGTTCTGAAGACTACATTCAAAATGAAAAAAAGTGAGAAAATATCAGTTTTTATTCCTGCCAAAATGATTATTTATTTATATTTTTTTAATTTTGAAGCTGTTGATGTTTTTTTTACTCCAGAACCTGTAACCACGCTGGCTGGTGTTCGGTTAGATGTCAGTACAAAAGGAAGTTCTCAGTCAGATAATATTACCAGGATGCCTGTTGTGCCACCACATCCTAAATCAGCTGGTAGTACAGAGACCAGAACACCATCAGCCAAGTCGAGGGCTACCACAACCACCATTCCACTAGTAAAGACTCCTGCTACAATGAAGACATATGAAATGGTGTACACACAACCAATGGTAGGTAGAAGTCTTTGTCTTAGACTTCATATTGTATTAAATTAATATAAATGTGTTAAGCTTGTATACTCAATTTTATATCAAGGTAATATGCAGTATTTTTTAACATGAATACATATATGCATTTTGTTCTACAAATAAATGTTTGCAATATTAAAGTGATACAGAATACATATTTATGTTTCCTAAACAAAAATCTCATATAAAACAATCTAAAAAAACGGAGCATTTTTTATGTCCCCATGAAATCCTTCTATTTTTCATGATGTAAATTTATTACCCTTTTTATGTTAGAATTGATAGGCAAGTCATTTAGAAATTCATTTCCTTCTTTTGCCAGAAGTTTTTCAACAGCAGTGTGTGATTGTATTTGTAGTATTATTTTTTTCAAAACATAAAAGTTGTATGGTGTGAAGAGGTTGCATTTGAAAAATAGTTGAGTTGTACATGTCTGAGAAATGTTGCATATTATCTTTAAGTTGCTATAATCATCGTAGAAATTATGTTTTTGACTTGATTATATATTTTTTTGTTTGGATAGGTTGCTAACTATTTATTTGCTGAGCTTTAAAAAAATTAATTGATGTTTATGAAGAATATTAATGTTTTTCTTCCGTAACTTGAAATTACAGTTGAAGCCGGGTCTCTATTTTGAATAATAAAATATTGACTCCTTTGGGTGTTTTCATTTATTATCTGGAAATAGATAATATTTTATCTACTTCAGAAAAAGTTATAAAACAATGGTCATCTTTCTTTTCATAGTCTTTTAAAATAAATCATAGAAAAAAAAATGTAAAAGATTTCTATTATTCAATTGCCTGTTCTAATTTTAGAATCGTTACTATGGGGTAAGATAAACAGATCAACCCTTTATCACACTACTGTTATTTATTGTTTATTGATAACACAGATTAACCTTATGTGACCTTTCTGCACTCTTTATACTTAATATGAATGTTTACCTTTCTTCTGCTTCAATACAACTTCTTTTCCTTTAAGAAAGTCTATCTTCTGCTAGGTAAAATATGCTGCTATACAGAATCTTGCATTGTATAGGTCAAGATATTCATGTTGATAATTGATAAATATGTTTGGTAGACTTCATTGAAAATTGATTCTAACACTGCATATCTTCAGTGCAGTATTTCTACACTTAATAGATCTTAATACAGTGAAGTTTCAGTTTTTAAATGCAAGAATTTTTTTTTTTAATAAAGTGTTAAGAGTGAGAAACAATATGGTACTGTATGAGTTGCAGTTTTAAGATCCCCAAATAATATTAAGACAATATGTAGACAAACTTCTATGTTCCTTTTTTTATTCTGCCTGATCAACAAACTTTTGTTCTTAATATATATTATCATGAGACTTGATAACCTTTTTCATACAGTGACAACAGCAAAACAAGTGTCTAACAGGGAAATTTAACTTCTTTGATGTTCACATTTTATTATCCAAAATGAACTACAATGTAATAAAACAAAATGATTAATCAGCTAAGAATTAGGGAAATCTATATAAAAAAATGGTTATACAGCTTCATATGTCTATCAGATGTGAGAGTTTAAACTTACCTAAGGGAGATAATTTGAAGGAATATGAAAATATTGTAGAAATCTTATCTTTATTCTTAACTTCTCTGTCTCATTAGATTTAGTTATATATATCCATATGTATTATTTGTTGTATTTTCAGCTAGGGACAACACCACAATTGGTACATAAATATTTTTCTATCAGGGTTTGGTGTGCACCTGTATAGATATATATCACCCTGTAGGGGGGTAGTACATTTAGTTAGTAGTTCACCTCATGTGCTTTCATGGTACATTCTTCCTTTGCATCTTTCTCTTTACTTATTCAGGGAAATTTTCTGAAGTTTTATTTTGTGAGGTACATTATTGAAAGGCAATGATTTGCTCTTAGTTAGGGAAAATGAATATGTATATGTTTCTATTTAAAGATGAATTTAGCATTATTTATTTCCTAAAGCTTATATAATTTTGACCCAGACATGTAGAGTATGTTCCCTTATCCCTTCCATGTTCTATTAGAATTCCCCTGACCATAGATTACATTTTACAGGTACAGTACTTTAGATTAACTTATCCTTTCAAGAAACAGACTAGAATATGGCATACTATTTTTTCTATCACTGTTATAAGCAAAATATATTTTTCATGATTATTTATTGATGTAAGTTTTGATTTTTATTGCAAAATAAACAAGTGCAAGTGAGGAAAATTAAAATTTTTCACCTTTGAAAATATTTTAAAAGAAGTGAATGGCAAATTATAATGCAGAATTATAATTTTTTTTTTTAAATAAAATATCCTATTGAACAGAACAAATTTTCAGCTTTTACTTTGATTAAAAGAACAGGCCATGAATTTTTCACTTTTTTTTTTGGTAGAGTAAGTTGCTTTCATAGAAAAAAAAAAACAATCTTCAACCGAAAATGGTACAAACAAAAATCAGATTTTAATGATTTTATAAATTGTAACTTTTTTAAATACCTCAACAAGGGGGTTAAGAAAAGTGATTGTCACAAATGGTAAATTCATTATTTCAAAATTTTCTTTGCAGCCATTAGCAATTACTTTTTCATGCTGAATAATTGGTAAAATGCATGGCATGTAAAAATGGAAAAGGTTTTGTTTTTATAATTTCAATATCAAGCCTCATTTCAAACTATAACTTCTATTTAAGACTTGACTTCTACTGCAATAAGTAAATTCCATAAAAGATTATTTTTGGTTATCTACAGTTTGATTCCATTTGTTAAAAAGTAGTGGGTTGATTCAATTTATTCTATATTTCATGTCAAATTCTTTTTGTATTATTACCTTACAGCTTTAGCCCAAAAGATGTCAGGGTTAAAGGTTTCCATCATAGACTGTCATCATATTGAAAAACATGTAACTGTTATACAATATCAATTCCTTTGTTTTTTCATAGATACATGTTGTACCCAGAATAGAGAGATTGACTGGATAGAATCTTCTCTGGAAATCTAATATGGATTATAATTATTCAATTGTTGTTTCGTTTACAGTTATAGCTTTACCCTAGGAGAGATAAATGTTTATTATCACAAGTACTTGAAGCATCCTTGAATATTAAAAATTTCATACTCCTATTTTAATTTTTTTTTTTTATTGGTTAGTTTCAGCTTGGACCATACAGTGTACAATGGTTAGCCCACTTAGGTGTTGCAGTATTAGAGCGACCTCTGTATTGTAAAGGCACACTGTTGAATGTATTTCACATCAGTTATTTTGTTCCAGCATGACAAATGGCATGTTTTGATTATTTCAATTTTCAGTGATGGCATGATGTGAAAACTTCTCTTATGTTTAATTGTTTCACATATACATATCTGTTATGTTACGCAGCAGTTCATAAGATGGAGACTGAATACAATTATGTCAGGATTCATTTTTTAATTGATAACATTTATTTTATGTTTCATTGTTTCATGGTAATTATATACTGGCATCATATAAGATTAATAATTTTAGAATCTTTCCATTTTTTACATTTCCCATTTAATTCTATAAATAGTTCTTTGTATAGTTGAGGGTATACAGGGGTTAACAAATTGAATTCTTCACAGTGTGACTACTGAATTCACTTTCAATGTAAAGAAAGGGTGACTTTGACTTTGATGCATGTAACTTACTACTGTATATCTGTTGTCATTCTTTTTTTCAATTCTGAATATTACTTGTAATAAATTCATGACATCTAATGATTTATGTCAGAAGTTTTGCAAGAGTTACCTCCCATTTAAGCAAGTAGGAAATTCTCACAATTTGCCCAATTTCTCAAATTTATTTGCAAGCCTCAAACTTTTTGATTTTTACTTGTACTCATACCTTGTGTATAAATGCATTTCTTAAAATGTTTGTTTTTTTATGCTATAAAAATCACTTGTTTGTCCCTAAAAATATGAAAACAAACAGAATTTTGGTATAGAGACCAGCTCCCAAGAAAGATACCCCATCTAAACTCTAGCGAGGTGAAGTAAAGTAAGAAGAATGTGCTTATTCTATCAGCTATCACAGTTTTTTCTACACGGTTGTATTTGATGAAAGGAATGCACCAGTACACTCTAGTCTGAAAGTTTAATATTGTCTATTGTATCTTATTCTATAATAATAATCAAAGAATTATTTATATTTAACAAATAGTTTCTTCTTGTAAATAATATCTTGTCAATAAAATCTTTGATTTTATGTACAGTAAAATAGAAATATAAAATATTCCATAAATTTGAAAAAAATCTATATACATTTCTGATGGTTTCTGTCAATTTAATGATACATTCTTGCCAAGTCAAAAAGCTGATTTAATATTGAACACTTGTACATTTGTTGCTACAAAAGTTTGTATTACAATATCTTGATTATTTTTTATTTGATTTTAGCCTCCACCTACTACTCCAGCCAGTGGGGACCAAAAGCAGATTATGCACAGATTTGCTATACAGAATGGAAAGGTTCGAGACACATCAGCAGATTTTATGGCATTTAAACAGCATTACTGCTTGTCTTGGGGCAGGTTAGTTGAACTTTTAAACAATAACTGACTGTTGAGGTGATTTTTCCAACTTTTATGTCAGGTTACAAACCAGAATTACTTAACTAAACAGTGTTCTGACCGTTATGGTAGATTCTTATAATTGTTCCCTGGATTGATAGCTCTAAAATTACTCTTATGTTGGTGGACTGCAAGATTTTCCTTCAGTTTTCTACATACTCATGAAAATTTATCACTATTTATTGTTGAATGAAAAAGACAGAGAATTATAGAATAAGCAATCCAAGAATTCAAGTATAGAAAAATATTCACAAGTGTCCTAACAATACATTATTTGTACAAAAATGGGAGCTTGGGAGTTTATTATTAGTGTTCGGTCATGAGTTGAATATTATTTTCTATTTGAATTCTAGGATTAGTAATTCTTTTTATTACATTCAATTTTGAATGAAAATAAAGTATAAACTTTATCTTCTCTTACACATTTTGGATTGGTTTTGATGCAATGTCTTGACAACACCCATTGTTGTAAGATGTCAGAGGAGTGACATTATCAGTTTTCAATTTACTCAGAACTTAACAGTGTTTCATTGCAACCAATGTAATAATATATTTTAACATCTAAATTTTTCTGTACATTTCAGTATTGTTACAATGATGGGACATCTACTAAGATTACTGAACAAATATATGATTCCTATTGCATTTATCAATGGTGACAGGTAAGTCCGGATATTTTTTTATCCTGCAAACAGCCATTTTACTATAGAAATAAAGGTGAACAAATAATCTTAACTGTTCATAATTTAGTAAATCATATATTTAATCAAATAAATTTATAAGATTGATAGTGATTACAAAAATTGAAACATGATGTCTCTAACAACAATAGTGATTACAAAAATTGCAACATGATGTCTCTAACAGCGATACTGATTACAAAAATCGAAACATGATGTCTCTAACAACAATAGTGATTACAAAAATTGAAACATGATGTCTCTTAACAACAAAAGTGATAACAAATATAGAAACATGATGCTTCTAACAACAACAGCATACTTTATACCAATCAAGGACCCACAAGGGGCATACAGAGCATACATAAAGATTAAAAACATTGATACCCAAGACAACTTTGTGTAAATTTTCAATAATGTTGAGATAATTATTTATTTTCATGTGTTGGTAAATGCAGTAAAACTCTTAAATGTACGCTTAAGCTGGTAGCTTTGTTACTAATAAAAAATTTGTGTATTTCATTAATATAATGCACTTATGGGACAAATTGAATAACCAGCCAGCATTCTGGTGCAAATATTAAGAGTACCATGAAAATATGACAATGTGTTTGACACACATACTTTATACTTTCAGAAAAGAATTTTTTTATTGCAAATTTAAATCAAATTATGTTTTGAAAATTTCCTGAATTTATAATTTAATGGCGCCAATGGTATATTTTTCTATATCAAAATTAAAAAATTCATTGATTTTTTGGTTTCCCATGATATAGCGAAAAAATTCAAAAGAGATGTAAAGAAGCAATCAATCAATCAATCCTATGTTGAATTATTTCTTATTTACATTTGTTGGGTCTTATTTGTGTAATTATCAGCATTTGCACTATTACTGTATGCTAGGGGTAAAATTGGCAAGCAATTTGAGCCTAGCCAATGTAAAATCCTTAACAAACCTTGGTTTGAGATGAGTTGTTTCTTCAATGAACTGTCATTGTAATATTCATTATTTCAGACTGGCAGATTTGGCCTTAGAGTTTGAGTTAGAGAAAGCTCCATCAATCAGAGAAATTCTGTCTGTTGTCATCAACAGAGATGATGTGGAGAATATAATAAACAAACCAGTAAGATAATACTGATAAACCTTTCAGAAAAACCTTTATTATCCTTGAAAACAACATATGCACTTTTATTTTACAATCTTGGAAAAGCAATATATAGGTATCCATCTATAAATGATGATTTGGACTGGTCTTTATTTCTGTATTCTTAATTTTTAGGCCAATTTTCTCTCTTCTTTTTTTTGCCCATTATTCTGTATTTTGTAAACCCCAGCAGACCCTTAATATGTTTCAAATATATATGTTTGATTTTCCTAGAATTTATCTCTTTTTTTTTTTTCTTTTTTTTTTACCAACTTCAAATATTTTATTGCATTAATAGTTGTGAACAGTATCCCTTAGCGCTATGACAATGACGCTAAGGTTTCTCCCTGTGTTGTTAATTGTTAATGAAACTAGGGGATTTAATTAGCAAAAATATCATACATTTATATTCTGTATTAGTTGAATTTATCTCCCAATATTCCATTTTTGTACATCAGTTGTCTGGATGGTTTACTGTTCAAAAGTGGTCTATTCCATTCATATATCAGAGGCATTCAACTTTGTATGATAATATGATTGGAAGTTATACATACACATATATGATATCAGGATATGCTAACATGATTACTGTACAAGCACCTACAATTATGACATACTTGCAACTTTTTTCAATGTAAATCAAGGACTGCATGGGAATCTCTAAGCAAAAATTTAAAAAAGGAAGACTCATTGATGTGTCAGAAAATGGACATTGAAACAATGTAGAATAATTGTAGGACCAAGATATATAAATTCATCAGCAATTTGTACATTTTTCCTTTGATCTTACTGTCTAATATTTGTTAAGATTATGGACAGGATTTGAGACTCATAAATATTAGGCAATGATGTCATGTATAAGTGCAGCAACGTTACGTGTACATGTCTATTTGCGTCAATTTATCAATGAAAAGCATGCAGCTTCATTCATACAACCGAACAACTATAACAATGTTTTGTACGCGTAAAAGTTGTTTTTACTAACTAATTCATTTATTTCATATTCTCAACCCCAAAAAAAAATTTTTGTTAAGACAAATTGGCAATAAAAGAGTAATGACATTTTATTTCTTGATACTGACTTCATCAGCTCAAATATCAGCATCGTCCTGAACATGCATGAAATATTTGCCACTGGACGTTAAGCAACAATCAATCAATCAAATATCAGCTCGCCCTAGCAGGCTCGCTTGATTTTTTTGCTGATAAAGTTGGTATCAAAAACTGCAGTTATTCTATATATATAGCACAAATAATTATTCATCCCTCGCTTGATAAAAAATCCTATTTATTTTAAAATAAAAATGGTCTTAAGATTTAAATAATATAATAACAATAATGAACCATTATCGTTAAAGTGTATATAATTATGAAATATCTTCTTTTTTTTTCTTAGGGAAGACAATATAGAAGTTCATCAGGACAGGATATTGCAGCCACTAGAATACAATCAGCATGGAGAATGTTTAGGGACAGATCAGAGTATCTGGAATATAGGAGAAAGAAATGGGCAGCTGGTGTCATTGCCATCTCATGGATCATGCATATTAAAATGTCTAAAGTCAGGGAACAACTTCACCAAACGAGAGATGATAATCTTGAGGCCTTCAGAAGAAGGGCAAAGGTCAATTACATATGAGATGCATTTAGCATCTTCATTTTTAGTGGAAGTCTGTTTTAGGATTATTTTTTTGAAAATCCCAGTATTTGTAAATGAATAGTTTGACTTAAATGTGATTAGAATGAATATTGTAATTGTCTTTCTTATAATATGATCATTGAAAACTAAACAAAAGTTGTTAAAATACTTCTAATGTATATTTAATATGATTTCTTTAATAAGTATAATATATGTTTGTGGTAATTAATTAAGGTTACTAGTATGATTATGATTATGTTTTAAGGGGAAAAAAATACTGCAAGTTCAAGAGGAATCCTGAAAATTTTGCATTATTTGTTAAAAATCTCATGTTATCTTGTTTCCAAAAGAAATTTCAGCAACATTTGGAGATTTATGTTCTTTTGAATATTTGGACCTAGTCCTCTCATAACATTAATTCAAGTAGACTGGAATTATTGTCAAATCAAAATATTTTGTCTGAATTTTAAATTATGTGCTATATTGTATGTTTCTGTACATGATTACTAAAAACATTTGCACATTAATATTTATTTTCTAATTTATTGTTTTTGTTTTTTCAGAAATTTGCAATGTCATGGGATCGCATCAAGAATTCTAGAAGAGTTATTATACACATTCCTTCTCTTGGTTTGTCACAAGATATCAGAGATAATATTAATGACTTTGCAATCAGACAAAATACACAAATGGCTCGGCTGTGTGATATAAGAGGTTATTATGCATACTTTATTTCAAAGTTTCAGAGAACTTTATTTGCTCATCGTGGACAATTTTGACAATTTTTCAGGATGATCATTTCTTAGTAATAGAACTTTAATTCAAGAAAAACAATGTTAAATCATGGTGCCTTTTTAAAAGGTTAACAAAATAAGAAATATACAAGAAATAATGATTTAAATGATGATAGAAAAAAAATGTGCATACCTGTTCATGTTGTTGTCCAACTTTTGGTCTTTAACACCAAATTACTTATGCCTTAAGGTATTGGAGTTATTGATATGAGTATGATTCCTGCCTCATTGACTATTAAAGAAGTAAATTTTGGGATATTGACCTGATTGTAATTTAAATTTTTTTTAATGTGGTAATTGATTACTGTTTTAGATCCCAATGTAGATGTAATTTATGTATCTCCTGTCCCCATACACGATGAGACAGAGCAGTATTATTCCAAACTTCTTGGTCTAAGGCATGCGGTAGATAGTGGAGAAGTGGAGGACCAAGCTAATATGGGGGAGAGATATCATGTTATCATGCCAGAGGCTATAAATAGCTTCCAGGTAATCAGTTTAATTCAAAATCAAATAAATTCCATCCAAATTATGTCTATATTAATAAGATAAAAGGATGTCCACCCGTATAATTCCACAGTGAGATTTCAATATTTTAAAGATGTTGTTACCCATATATCATTTTATTCTCTTCGAAAAAAAAATGAAAAGGTTCCTGATCTTTTTTGTTTGATAATTGAGGTAAAAAATGGGACAATTTTACAAAATTTGAATAAAGAAATAGTCACAACAATGTTGTGCTAGTTAACATCTCCTCTCAAGCTGGAAGATGGTCTTTAAGAGAGCCCTGCCACATCATGCTTGACCAGAAACTATACATGTAGTTAGGCAAAATATGTATACTAGTCACTATCAAGATGGGATTATTACAAGAAGATTATATGATGAAACAGATATATTGTATGAAAATACATTTCTACAGAATATAATATAGTACTTTTTGTTTGCCATTCAAAAAATGTTCACATGCATGATTTAATTTTACTGGATTTGATGCATTTAAATTTTTTAATGGCCATAGGTATGATGTCTAAAACCATATTGGCAGGACATATCTTTTACAATTTCATCTTCAAATTTGTCAATTTTGTGTAAAGGCTACCACTAGAATAGATTAAGTCAGACATAATTGGGATATTTAAGACATTTTTTTTTCATTCAAGAGAAATAACTCTATTTTGATGCTTTTGATAAAGTCTTACATATTTTAACCATAAAAATGGAAAACTTTGTTTCCAAAAAAAATTTCAATAATGCAAAACAATTCATGTGCTGCTTGAGAAAAAAAATTAAAACATGCAACCACAGGACAAGCTTGAGAATAAATATATGTATGGTAATATTATAATTGAAATGACTTTTTTATGATTTAACATTATATTTCAGACTGCAACAAGTGTTTGTATTTATTTCACTGTGCCTTAGGACTGTTCCATTGAAACATGCATGATACCCAGGGAAGGCACTTTGGGAAATGTAACCATCTATGGAGACAATTTTAAAACTTCTCTTACACTTTCACTGTGCAAAAACATCCACCCATAGATGAGATTTTGAAGTGCCTTCCCTTATCCCTTGTTTGTAAATATGGAACAACCCTTACTGTTTATTATTGTTATTGTTATTATTTAGTTATTAAAGATTTTCATAATTAATGAATAATTTGACATGTTTGTGTTTGAGTAACTTAATTGTTGGGTATGTTGCTTATATTATACACAGAATATAAAGGTACATATCAGTATATGGAAGATACATTGTTTAATACTTTAATTTATCTAATTTCAATCATGTATTTATGGGAATGTTATATGCAACACAGCCTTATATATAATTTATAGAACAGCTAAACTAACATAATATAAGAAGAACTAATAATTGTACATTCATTGGAATAACAAGAAAATTATAATGGCCATCAACTTATACAGTGTACACTGTTTTTAGGCAGTTAAGCTGCCTTATGCGAGCACCCTAGATTTGTGTTCTACCCAATAAATGCTGAAATACGTGCCATTGTTATTATCTAGCTGGCTATTATGTTATTTATAACTAATTGGACATTTTTTTAATACTTTTATTTCTGGAATACAAAAAATATGACCAGAAAAACCTTAAATGATCGTCGAACTACCCAAAACTTTTGAAGTTGCACATAGGAAGTAGTGCTCTATAGAAATCCGTACGTAGTTTATTATCCCCTGTGCTTTTGGCTACGATGTCAAAGAACAATTGTATGAAATATTTCATCGCCGAAAATCGGTAATTACAAGTCGTTTATATTTCCCAAATGGCAAAATGCGCAGGAATATTGTTCATGTACAACAAATCTCTATGATAGAGGAAATGAAGTTATATAAGTGGGTGGTAATTTCTAACTTATCTTGCCAAATAAGGTTGTTGTTATTTTATGAATGAAACGAGGTCATGAAAACAGATGTGGAAATCGACGTTGATGGGATGTTTTAAGTAATGTGGACAACTTGTCCCCGAGACAAGTCGGACCGAATCCACTCAAACCGTCTAAGAAGACAACTTTGACCGTTTGTCAGATTTACTTAGGGTTTCATAAAATATTAGACTAACATGTCTAGCGGAGCCATTTATCTTTTGTTTGTGCATTGGGGTCTATTAAGGGGTATTTGGAGGGGCCTGAAGAAGGGAGGGGTTTACTATAGAACCCTATGAGATTTTATTTTTTTTTAATTTTCAAATGACTATTTCTCGAAAACAGTAGGTGATGCAGTCTTCAGTAATGAGAACAGGACAATACAAAAAATCAACCAAAATATAGGGTGAGTCCCTGGGGGTCATCCCAACCCCCTTTAATTTGAAAATGTACTTTTATCTTGTAAACCGTCGCGATCCCCACCCCTAAACAATATATATACTTGAATGGGACAATTAAAGAAATCAAATGAAAATAATTTGGGGGAGTCCCCAGTGTCGTCCCACCCCCTCCTGTTTGAGAACTTGGAAATGGTCAAGATCCCCACCCCTAAACCATATATATTCATGTATGGGACAATAAAACAAATCAAAAATGAAATATAGAGTGAGTCCCTGGGGTCACCCAAACACCTCCTGTTTGAGAACTTGTAAACGGTCGAGATCCCCACCCCTAAACCATATATATTCATGTATGGGACAATATAACAAATCAAATGAAATATATGGGGAGTCCCTGGGGTCACCCCAACCCCTCCTGTTTGAGAACTTGGAAATGGTTGAGATCCCCACCCCTAAACCATATACATTCATGTATGGGACAATAAAACAAATCAAATGAAATATAGGGGGAGTCCCTAGGGACACCCCCGCCCCTCCTGTTTGAGAACTTGTCCCCACCCCTAAACCATATATATTCATGTATGGGACAATATAACAAATCAAATGAAATGTATGGGGAGTTCCTCGGGTCACCCCTACCCCTCCTGTTTGAGAACTTGGAAATGGTCGAGATCCCCACCCCTAAACCATATATATTCATGTATGGGACAATAAAACAAATCAAATGAAATATAGGGGGAGTCCATGGGGACACCCCACCCCCTCTTGTTTGAGAACTTGTAAACAGTCAAGATCCCCACCCCTAAACCATATATATTCATGTATGGGACAATATAACAAATCAAATGAAATATTTGGGGAGTCCCTGGGGTCACCCCACCCCCTCCTGTTTGAGAACTTGGAAATGGTCGAGATCCCCACCCCTAAACCATATGTATTCATGTATGGGACAATATAACAAATCAAATGAAATATAGGGGGGAGTCACTGGGGTCACCCCACCCCCTCCTGTTTGAGAACTTGTAAACAGTCGAGATACCCACACCTAAACCATATTTATTCCTGTTCATCATTTCAAAAAGATTTGAATGACATACAGGGTCAATCTCCTTGGTGTCACATATGCATATCACTTTACTAGACCAAACCAATATGAACTGGACTTTGCCCAATGTCAGGAGACCATGGGAATGACGAATTATGGGGGCTTTGTTTGGGAGACTTCGTAACGGCATCCTGTTACAATTATTTCTTGTTTATTATAAAAAAATTTTGATCCAAAAAATGAGTAGATTATTGAATTTACTTTAATTGTTTATTAAATTATTTCTGGGCCTATAATAATTTTCATTTATGGCTCATTTTAAAGAAAACATATAAATCTTTCAAGCAGTGTAAAGCCCGAGAATGTTTGACCAACTGTTTTATAATCACCTGTCATTTTATTCCAAACTTGGTATGGAGTAACATCATGCACTTGGGGGGTGAAGATGGGGGTCATTTACATTGATATATGAGTTGCTTTTGAAAACCTTGATGAAATATTAATTAATTTGCCTTAATAATCAATTCATTTAATGAACATAAATGTACAATATACGAATGTTTAATATTTGTTCTTTCAAATCTTAAAAGAAAATTGAAGCAACATTGCCACAGTTTTCATAATTACGTTTGCCTTGGTTTTTGGTTAACTGCCTACAGCGCTTACAGTGCTTTGATTTAATGATAGTTTACCTTCAATTTGTCAAAATGTCAACGATGATGCTATTAGGTAAATTTTTCACATTTTGATAACTAATGGAAAATTGAATGTCAAGACAGATCTCAGCACAGATCACTTGATGATGCACAAAAAAATTAAAGATGAGTAGTCAGTTCTTGTATTAAGATTTTAACAAGGACACTGTAAGAGATTGTCAGCTGTTGAAATTGAAATTGCTCAGGTTGAACAGATTGATTCAGGAACCAGGAAACTTTATATTCAAAATACCAGCATTCCTCCATAGTTTTACATTGTGAAACAATCCGAAAAGAATTGACTATTTTCAAGAGAAAAAAACCTGTAACTTTAGAAGGCTGCAAATTACACCTATTTTGTTACTTTTCAGGGTCACAGATTTTGTTTGTCATCACTTCTGAAATACAGTCCTAGAGCTTTAAGAAGAATAAAAACATTAATTAAAGGAAGAGAGGCTTACATAGTAACTGGGGTACCACACAAGGATGACTTAGCTATAGCAGACTTTTTAGATGTTCCTATCTTGGCTCCAGAGCCTGAAGTAGCACATCTCTACTCCACTAAATCAGGGTGTAAACGTATCTTTGCCAGTGCCAATGTAGAAATGCCTCCTAGTGAATATGATGTATATAGTCTTGGTCAGGTAAGATTTGATATGGGCTCACAACAATGGGCAGAATGCAATGGGTTATAAAAATGTTTCATTCATTATTTTTTGTTCCCCACGCAAGGGGACATAGAAATACTGGGCATCTATCTGGTCTTGTTAGCGCTCTCACGTGTACAATTCTTTCCAGATTTTTATGAAACTTATATCATAGGTTTATATAAGCAATGTCTTTAATGAGTTCGAAAATCAGTGCCGATCAATAATTTTTAAAAGAGGTATGTCCCATGGAAACATTGATTATATGGAAAATTGCATTGTAAGTGCTCTCACATGTACAATTTTTGCCAGATTTTTATCAAATTCATATCAAAGGTATATAACAGCAATGTCTCAGACAATTTCTAAATAAGTGCTGATCAAATAGTTTTAATGAGTTTCTCTTGGAAATATTAAATGTATCTGAAATTGCTCTCAAGTCTTCAACTCTCTAGTAAGATGATTTTAAAAAGTTTTAAAGACCAAAAAAAATTTATTTTTAGTTATTGTTGTTGGACAGATCAGATAAAATATATGCAACTCGGGGGACATTGGAACTCTGTTCTTTTATTATGATAGATAAGAATAAATGATAAATAAAAATGGATAGTAGAAATTTTCACTCAGGCTGAATTTTTATGTCACATTTGGCTATTGTGATGCATAAAGAAAAAAGTGTCAAATGAAACACAAACATCACAAATTCAAAAGATCTTTTTCCTTCTATAACTGAATTTTCAATAATTTATGTCAACTAAAACGAAATAAAAGATGTAAATTATATTGTGGAACAGCAAAAAGTTTATATTAGAAATTGGAAGTCTTAATTCTAGTTTTAACTATAAAGATTTTTTCAAATGAAATATACATATTTGTCTGACATATTTACGCTTCTCAAAATTTCAGGTATTTACCAGCTGCAACTTTTGAGTATAAAATATATCTAATCATTTCCATCAACTTTTATATAGACTTCATTCTAACTTTTACCTTCACTTATATAAACCAATAGATACAAGCTTGACAGATTTGTTTTTTGAAAATCCATAACAAGGTGTTGAAGGACAATTTTTCAAGATAAGTGATACAGGCCCCTTAGAGCCTCTAGTTTTTCACTGAGCAATGGAAGCATTAATATTATTAAACTGATTTTGCTGCATGAAATATTGAAGTTTTCATAAGATGTCTTGAATTCAATAAACTTGTATATGTAAGACAGTTAGTGCCTTTTTTTTTCCAGTTACATGAAAGTTTAGCCCAGTTAGTTACAGAAAATCTGACAGTACGTAGATGGTTGTTTAAATTAGATGATGAGTTTGATGGACGAGGGATAGCGTATTGTGATATTGCAGACCATTTACAGTGTTATCCATGGGCATTGAAGGAATCCAGACGATATGGTGATAAATGGGACCGTAAATGGGCTCAGGTTAGTGAACAATCACATCACTTATGATTTCTTTGTCACAGGTAATATTGAAAAAGTGTTTTTATTCTTTGAAGGAAACCAGTTTCCATAGATATCATGACTCAGTAAAACCACAATACTACATAACATCCAAAGAAAATGAAGGCTACGCCTTGAGCCAATAGAGCTAACCTCGACCCAATACAACTGTTCTTGAACATAAAACAGGATTAATATGAAAACACATTTAATAACACTGTAATACCAACTTGTTATATTGTAGGAAGCTGCTTATATAAAAATACATGCAGAAATACCAGAGGTGCTAGCTACACATGCAAAACCAGTTAATACAAAATTATATCCTACATGGGATTCTTTCCTCGATGCATTTCTTAGTCAAGGTAAGTTCTAAAGATGTACACCTTGTTAGAATATATATGTAGCTATAGATTTATGCCTTAATCATTATATGATTGATTGATAGTTGGTTCCTTAGTGCTCAGTTGGAAATAGTTCATGCATGTTCAGGACAAGAGGCCTAAATAAAGTATGACAAAATTTGAATATTATAGTATTGATATATTTGTACCATATTAGTGCTTACTGGATGTCTGACATGTTATAAGAGGTAGATTAGTATCACTTTGTGATCTGCAAATTTGGCCAATGTGTTCTTATTAATCATACCTGTTTGTTTTTAATGTCAGATCATCACAAAAATTGACCACACACACTTCTATCATGATTATTATAGTAAGTTGGTTATTAGAATGTCAAGGTTCCACTAAGAATGTGCATATGTTATATATTCCTATTTTACAGGTGGAGTGATAGAAGCTTGTCCTCCATCAGATACAACAACAACTATATCAGTAGATATGTTAATAGAACCAACAGGAAAATACAATATAGTATGTCTTGGTGATCAGATTCATGCAGACACACCCTTCAGTTGCTGGGGTGTGTCCATACCACAGTCTTCTATAGAACCTGATGATTTAAACATTGCTTGTAAAAGAGTGGCTGAAGCATGTAAATCCAGGGGAATTCTGGGACATTTCTGTGTTGACTTTATCACATTTATTGATCCTAAAACAGTAAGTTACATTAATGGTTATTTGAAGTAATAATACAAAGTTCTAATTATACAAAGTGTCATACATAGAAACAAAAAGACAATATAATAATAAGTAGATGTAGTATGAATGCCAATGAGAAAACTCTCTACCAAAGACCAAATGACGTAGAAGTTAACAACCATAGGTCACCGTACAGCCTGCAACAATGAGCAAAACCCATACCTCATGGCAAGCTAAACAGGTCTCAAACTTTTAAAACATGGCTGGCAATGCATTTAGAATATTTTGTGTAAATTCTACAATTGATTTAAAAGAAAATTTGAATCATATATAAAGCAGTGGTAGAATCTGTTTCACTACTGTTATATAACCAGACATTGATCTCTGTATGGATAAGTGATTTCAAAGAATTGTGTTCCTTTTGTATGACTTCATTATATAGTAGAAATTTTTCTATGCTTTCATAATGACAACATCAGAAATTGGCAAAGAAATGTTATGGTATGATTAAATTTGAATAGTTTAAGACGTTAGATGATTCAAACCTATTATGATTTATAAAAATTGTGATTTATTTTGATTTTTTTTTCAGGAGACCCAGAAGTTATGGGCCTTGGACCTAAGTTTACATTATAGTGACAGTCTGTCTATGTATCAATTAATGCAGTATGTCAGTAATGGTGCTCTAGATACTTCTACTCATGAATTCAATGTTCCTGCTCCTAAATCAGATAATACAAAACGACGGAGGAGGAGGCTAGCTGGAGAAAAAGAAGAGGTCAGTGTGATCGTTGTTTATGTTTGTATTCTCAGTTCAACATTTTATGATATCTTTTGCTAATTTCTTTTATAGTGTTCATTGATTTATTTAGATTAAAAAATTCAGTGCGTATTTACTGTTAAAACAAACTAAAATTTGAAAAAACAATGTTTTTTTAGCATCAAATTCAGTCCAAAATGTAGGTTTTTGTCCATTTTTTAATAAGGATTGTAAGTGGATTTTTTTCCCTAGAGAATAGCTTGTAAATGATGTATATTTGAAGCTTTTTATGTTTATTTAGTTGGAAGTTGAAAATTAAAAAAAATGTATCATTTGTTTCATCACCTGAGTTGTATCTTATTTTAGGCCCCACCAAACACAAGTAGATATGGAGTGATGAGTACAAAGTTATTACATACAAACTTAGCAGTGGTACATTACAGTGTGTTCTTCCAGATGTGTAGAGCTCATGGTATAGGCTATGATATTAAGGTAAATTATGGGCTTATTTATGTTTAACAGAACAGAACAGATCATACCTGTACAGAACAAAGAGATTTAAGTTGGAAATGAAAGAATTTTTTAGTTTGAAGTTTTAAAATGGAGTACATAAATTGAGAAAAAGGCAATAAAGAAATATAGATAAGAACAGTAGCAAAATGATTTCTTTTGATGCTTTGTATGTTACTACCAAGAAACCATTGTTATTATAATACTCTTTTTCAAAGATTCAAAGTTAAAATTATTTGACTATCATATGTTTTGTGTAGGTGAAGTCTTTCTAGTAATTGACTTAATGGCTACTAAATATATATTTCAGGAAAAACAAGGCACAGTGTTCACATTGATTGATAATACAAAGAGAGAAAGATTAGGAATGCTGTAAGTTTATTTGACAATTTTGAAACAATTATTTTGATCTTGTTATTTTATCCTTATACATGAGATAACAAGTAGAAAAATTAAATCATAAGCATGGAAGGTCTACTACAATGTACATGTTGTACCATCCAAGTTTTTTTTTCTTTTTTGGCATTACAAGATGTATAGACAATACCAGAATTTACAATTTTCAGATAAATTTTAAATTTGCATTCTCTAAATTGTGAAAGGGATATGTAGCAGAAATATATACAGCAATAATGGTGTTCCATTTCCTGTCATCCTATGATATCTTCAAAAAACATGCATGATTGTTTTACTTCAAACCTTGGTTTGAATTGTTTTATTGAAAAAAATTTACACAATTATTCATTAGCCAATCAGAGTTCTTACATTTTCAAAGTTACCAAAGAGCCATTCCTGCAAAATATTAAAGTATTCAGGTTAAAACTCCATCAAAACATTTGTATGGAAATCTCTTCCTTAAAATCTGGAAATTTTTTTTTAATTAGCACTCATATTGAAGTTTGAAATAAAATTTTAGCATTTTTGTCTCTTGCAGTATGCGAGACACATGGATTACTATCCAGCAGAGGTGACAATGTAAACTATTTGTATAAAGCTTTATATTTCAGAAGGTAGTAGACCTGGATGCTTCATATCTTGTATATAGATACCTTATGTTAGGAAGTTTCCGTCTGTCATATGTCCATTGTCTTTGACCTCATTTTCATGGTTCAGTGACTGCTTGAAAAAGAATGGTTTTTTTTTGTCAAGTGATAACTATATTTGGTATATGGGTTCCTTGCAACGTCTACATGTCTGTCAGGTAGGGTTCACTTGATCTCACATTGACCTTAATTTCATGGTTCATTGCACAATATTTAGTTTTTATGGTTTGGTCTTTTTCTCAGATACTATAAGGAAAAGGGCCTATATATTTGGTGTATGGAATGATTGTAAATTGTACATGTCCATCTGACCATGACCTAATTTTCATGGTTCATTGGACAATGTTAAGTTTTTGTGGTTTGTCTATTTCTCAGATATTATAAGCAATTGGTCATTTATATTTGGTGTATGGAACAATTGTAAGGTGTACATATCTGTCTAACAGGGTTCATATGACCTTGACCTCATTTTCATCATTCATTGGTCAATTGATAAGTAAAACAGGCAAGACATTTCAGCATGTGCACTCTTGTTTGAAGCATGTATAATGTAATGCCTGTTTATTACAGAACAATAGGTGATGACCTGAAGTCATCTCTAGCTAACTTTGCCAGGAACTTGTCAACTATACATCATGAGATATCAGCACCAAACATGCAGGGTGAAACTAATTTCAAGGTAAGCTTTCCATACAGATATATGTATTAATACAAAAAAATCACCAGAGAATAATATGTAGATATCAGCAAAAGCTTTACAAAAAAAAAAGATATTTGTTACAAAATGTATTTTAAAAAGATGTTAATGTGTGTAAAATATCTTTTTGAGTAAAGCCTTAGCTCATTTTTTGACCCAAAACTATGCATGGAATGGTCAATTTAGGTCAAATACCTAAATTTTGTGACCTTTCTGCACTTAAGTGCCCAGATTATGTTAACCTGTGTATTTATCAATAAAATTGACATATCTTTGAAAGGCTTTAAGTATTATACTACTATATTTGCAAATTCAGTAGCCAAATAATGGCTCTTATCATACCTCTTTCTTTATGAATAAAAAATGAAAGCAAATTAATCACATAATTTGAAGTCATTTTACTTGTGGATCCTGACAATGAAATTTTTATTGTAAATGCCACAGTCAGAATTGTTTAAAAAATAGATTGACTTTGAAATATTAGTATGATTCAAGAAATAAAAACCCAAATTTAAACATACATGATTTCCTTTATAAAGTATGGATACTGTTTGGAACATCCTGAAGCTATTGCTCATTCAGAAGCAATAAAGGTAAAATGTTTGATTTTGTGTACCAAGGGAAAGGACAACAAATGTATTTCCACAGGAAATAAGGTCAAAGAATATTACTTGCACGGTTTTAATAGGGGAAATTGTAGCACTTTAGCAACAGGTTTTTTTTTATCTAGATTGGTATTTGGGATTATGTCATTATAATATTTTGATAACTGAAAATCTACAGATTTATTACACAAATAAATAAGTGACATGAGCCTTTAATGATCAACTCCTTCTATAGTTTTCAACTCAGATCCTTAAAATTTCACCAAAAAGATTAAACACATATTGAAGCTGTGAACCTGCTATTGTAGAATTGTTTGATGAAATTTTTTCCCCATTTTTCCAGACTTGGGAACTAAGTTTTTTTTCGGCAAAATTCATGAAAGAGGGTACAAGTTTTGTGTAATCAACTCCTCCTACAGTTTTCAACCCAGATCCCTGAAGCTTCACTAAAAGATTGCACATATGATGAAGTTGTGCACATGCTATTTTGTAATTGTTTTAGGAATTTTTACATTTAATATTACACATATTTAAATTTTCAGTCTAGAGCATTCTGAATTGATTAAGAAACATTTGCGTTTTTGGTCTATTTTTTTAGCAAAAAATTATAAAAGATTTCCTATTTTGTGTAATCAATTCCTCCTGTTTTCAAACAAGATTGATAAAATTCCACTGGAAAATGTCACACATTGAAGTTGTGCACCTGCTATTTTGGAATTATTTGGCTACATTTGGGAACTTGATAAGTTATTTTTTTCATTTCCATTTCCATATATTTAAATTTTCTTTATATAAATATAAGAAGGTGTGGTATGATTGCCAATGAGACAACTCTCCACCAGAGACCAAATGAAATAGAAGGTTACCACAATAATTTATAGACTCCATGTGTTTAAGAAAGATTCTGTGTGCAATACTGACATTTGAGTCATTCTTTATGAACTCAATTAAATTGTTGTTTAAGATATGCCCATGTTCTTGGAAACTTTGGCACATTTTCCTGTGATTACTCAGAATACTTATTCAGCTGTTATTTATTTTTCAGAGTGCTATAAAGGATGTTGAAGCAATCTTGAACATTACAATTGAAAATGCTGAGGAATATGAAGAAATACAGAATAAAACATCATGAGTAATGACAGAACTATAGTAAATTGCAATATTCATCAATAAGTGAGAAATATACCAGGAATGTGTATTATATGTCTTTTTGTAACAATTACTTGTTTCAGTTGAAAGATGGAAAGAAATAATGTAGAATTCATTCTCATTGTTCTAATATACCAGCATTTATAAAATGTTAAGTACTGTACTTGCATTTGATAGTTTTAATATTGTAAATCTAATCAGGGTTTAATCATTTTAAAATACAGTTTGTCCTTGTCAATAATGTGTATTCATCTAACAACTTTCCCTGTATGTTACAATTTTATTTGTTATATCTGTGATATATTTAAGAATTCTGTGATAAAAAATACTTTTATTTTTACAATATAATGTTAAGTCTTTATCCGTCCAGGTTGAATCTTAATTCTTTAAATTTTATACATATATACTAATTCCAACATTAGATATCATATTTTTATGATGGGTTGCGGTCTCATCGGTGTAATATAATTCCATTCTGTCTAACTTTCAGTCCCTGTACAATCGTAGAGATTAAAATAAGTTTTGAAAGTAAAGATTGAATTGGTAATCTGAATTTCAAACTTTTCTGTTACTTAGCAATTGTAGAGACATGACAGTTATTACAGTTTAATAACCCACTATCAGTATCTTATTTAAAAGTTTTCCTTAAGGTATATTTTATGTTCACCATTGCTAATGTTAGTAATCTTTAGGTACATTACGGTGTTCCTAATTATTTTATGCCTTGTTATGTTTAAATGTATTATTTTCATTTTTTCTGCACTTGAATCAAAATCAGCAATGCACAATGTAGATAATTTATGTAAAAAATTATCAGTGTTATACTTATACAAAGCATTTTCTATGATTCTACAGATTAATTTATCATTGAACATTGTTTAAAATCTTTATCTCACTATTGTACATATTGGGCACATTTCTAGTCATAATGTGTGTGTCTGTCTGCACGACTAATATAATGGTTATCATGATGTATTGAAGTGCATTTATTTATTTAACCTCGAAAGGTGCTGCAATGATATACTTTAGGCCTGTATTGTATTTATATGTTTAATTGAATTATTTATAAATAGGTAAGTGGAGGTAAGAACAGTGATTGTATTAAAATAATATTTTACTTGGAATCAGGTTTTCATAGATGAACATAAACAAATTATAAACTAATAAGTTTCTCTTTAAATAGCTTTTATTTTTTATGTTTTATATTTTAATCAATACAACTACAAATAAAAGAGAAGTATTTACTTATACAGCTCCATTAAAAAGTAGAGGTCAAGGTCTGGTACGGGGCCCTTTGTATGTTAATAGTAATAATTTCTAGGTTTTGGTTAATAATATGATAAAACAATTTGATATAAACATTTATGTTGTAATTATGTAACAATGTTGCATTAGTCTATTTGGTCTAAGGTGTTTGAAAGAGCAGATTCTGATGTCAAAAATATAAATTTTCTGCATTTTCTGGCAAAATGACAAATTTAGAAGGTCTTATGAAAGGTTAAAAAATATGAAACAGAGAAGTGTAATCAAATCTTTGGTCATTTTTATGCCCCAGCTGTAGGTGACTGGGGCATTAAAAGTGTTACCCTTGACTGTCCGTCTTTCCAGTCCTTTCATCTTTCTGTCATTCTGTCTTTCCATTCGTGCCATTTTCGTTTGTTTGAAGCTTGAGCGGGGGAATTTGTGTCCGCAGACACATTCTTATTTTATTTTTTATAATTTTAATACTTATAAATACTTCACAGATGAATGATTAATTTCTGCAAATTGAGGGACCAAAAAGGCCACTTAAACCTTGTCTTTTGGTGTTTGTACTGTTCCAGTAAATTGTTTCTTTACATTTTATTTTATATATTTTTTTTAAATCAATATTTGTATTCTGTGATTAATTACGTTTAACTGTTTATTGTTATGTTATTTTATTAATTTAAACCTTGTATTATCTTATTTTACTTTTATTAAGTAAAATAAAATCTTTGGATGTCATGGATCAAAACATATATAATATAAAAAGAGATTATGAAAAACTTTTGTCTAGTCATATTTTATTTCCAAGATTTTTTGTATTAGATTTCATTTTACACCAGATTAGATCAGAAATTTGTGCAGTGTTGGGATCAATATAACGTTAACTGGATGACAACATTAACTTATGGGTAATGTCACCAAAAGGTCAATTTTCAACTAGGGTGACAATGTCAAAAAAGAAAAGTGCATGTGTGAAATGCTTCGCATATGCATAGAAAAATGTCATGTGATACAACTTTTTCAAACTCCACATTGAAACAACTACTATCTTGGAACTCTCCTTTTTGTTCTTGGAAACATTTTAGTAAGAGATAGAATTACTATACAGTAAGTGCTGCATATTTGGATAACCATAACAGACAAAATTTGTACATATTAAAACTGATAGCATTGAAACCAGGGTTTAATATTTTAATGAACTAACTCTGTGTTTCTCATTAAACTGGATAGCAGTAGTCAACATACACTCAAATAATATAAGAGATGTTGGCTTAATAAACACAGATGTTTTAACTCAACTGCCCCAAAGGGCCAAGTGAGCTTTTGTCATCTTCTGTCGAAGTCGTTAGTAAAATTTTACAAAAATTTTCTCTGAAACTACTGGGCTAAACTTAACCAAACATAACCACAATCATCATTGGGGTATCAAGTTTAAAAGATTTACCCTTTTTTTGTGTTTTGAGAAAAAACTTAAGATGGAGAGAAACGGTATACAGAAACCATGATCAACAGTACAAGATTTTTTTGTCTATTCTAGTCTACAATGTTGGAGAGTTTACATTGTTGAAGATGCACATAGACCAAGGGGAGCAACACAGGCTCTTTAGAGCCTAGAGTTTATATAGGGGTACAGAAATTTTTTCCTAGTGGATCACAGCCCTTTGTGACGAGACTTGTTCCTTTTTTTTTGTATAAGAGGATACCAGGAGTTACCAAAAATATTAGTTATTACAGCAGACCACACTTATCACTAATACTCAATTCCTCCAAAAAAATGATGAATAAACAAAGGTATTATTATAATGGAGTGAACATGAAGACACATCTTGTCTGCTTTACTGACCATAATCCAATTTATGTTGAAAGTCTTAAAAACAATTATTACATTTGTTGCAATGGATTTTCAAGGAAAATGAAAACCGATGATTTACATGTGAATTAAATCTTATAATTTAAATCCTCTGAAGTCGTAAAACAATAGGTGCTGTAATCAAATGAAGCTGCATCAAAACAAATTGAGAATGTGTAGAAAAAAATATAGTGCCTTGCATTTTCTATTAAAAAGTCTATGGACAATGTAATAAAGAGAATAAATAATCAAGATATATATAAATATTCAACTCTTGGCCGAAAAGTGCTGATTATTTATAACTCATTCCCCACCTCCGTTCATGGGTTAATGTTGTTCTGTCACTTGTTGAAAATTGTTCTATTGATTGATTGTTGTTTGCTTAACTTCCAAGAAAAAAAATCTTTCTATATTTGAAATCTTGGATTAGTTTTTCTATAAGCACATTAACATAACATTGTCAATGATCCATGCAAATGAGGATGAGGTCATAAACCTTGCCAGGCCTTCATGTACACCTTACAATGGTTCAAAACACCAAACTGTAAGTGATTTATTGCTTAAAGTATCTAAGAAACAGATCTAACCATAAAGGCCAATGAACTTTGTAAATGAGGAAATGAGGTCAAGGTCAGATGAACCTTGCCAAACAGACATATACACCTTGCAATAATCAATACACCAAATATACTTGACCCATTGCTTATAGTATTTATAATTTGATAAACAGAAATAACATTTACCTGTGAACCATGTAAATGAGGTAAAGGTCTGATGATACTTGCTAGACAGACATTTATACCTTGCAATCAATCCCCACACCAGACCTAGTTGTCCTACTGATTATGGTATCTGAGCAACTGACTTACCATTGACCAATGAACTATGTAAATGAGGTCACCATCAGATGATACCTGATAAGACAGATATGTATACCTTACAATCATTTCAGACACCAAATATAGTTGACCTGCTTACAGTATCTGAGAAATGGACCTAATCACGTAACTTTAACAATCATGAAAAATTCACTCTGACCCATGAACCATGTACATGAAGTCAAGGTCAGATGACACCTGATAGACATGAATACCTTACAATTATTCCATTCACCAAATATAATTGACCTACACCTACTGCTTATAGTATCTGATAAATGGACCTAATCCCCTGCTTGCATATAATGTTATAAAGCGACATAACTCAAAAATGATAAAAGTGAAACCACCATATTCGAACTTGATCCGAGTTTTGTGGTAATAAGGATTGTGTATAAGTTTCATAACATTTGGTTGAGGCAAACTTAAGTTAGAAAACAGAAATGAAAAATTCTGCAATTTTTCCATTTGTAAAGGGCATAACTCTATAACGGTACAAATGACGTCACCCAAATTCAAACTTGATCTGTGTTTTGTGCTAATAAGCATTGTGTATAATTCCTAGCATTTGGTTGAGACAAACTAAAGTTATAGAATGGAAACAAATTTCGGGACATACAGATGGACAGGGGTAACACTAAATGCCCCCGCCGCTGCAGTTTTTGTCGAGCTTGCAAAGTTTATTTCACGAAAGCAAGACATAGCGATCCTAGATTCTGTCGGCGCTGTCAACATTAAGGTTTAGTCTGTGGTTAAAGTTTTTTTGGACATCAATAACTTTGTCAAACCTTCATGTAAATTAGATGAAATTTGGACAGAAGCTTGTTTATGACCAAAATACAGTATCCAGAGCAAAATTTTGAAAATATTTATTTTCATTTTTCCGTATTTTACTGATAAATGGACTTAGTTTTTTTACATTTAACAAATAGATGCAGTCTGGGGTTAAAGTTTGTTACACATCAAATACTTTGTCAAACCTTCATAGAATTTTATGAAACTTTTTTATGATTTAGAGATAATGTCTGAAGCACATTGTTATGAAACTTGGACAGAAGCTAATCTTCAAGACAAAGAAATAGCATCTAAAGAGAAAGTTTGAATCTTTTTTAACATTCTGTAAATCTGATAAATGGACTCACTTTTTAAGTCAACATTACACTTTTACACTGACAGCAGCAATGGTAGGCAAGACACAGGGTCCTGCGGAACCCCTTACAAATTTTTTTAACCAGTTGCTGAACCATGAAAAGGTAGTCAAGAAGATACGACATACAACAGATGGAAAGACACCTGTACATAAGATATAAAGCATCCAAGTTTTTCTACATTCTAAAATAAATAGCTTCATACAAATAATATATGCCCCGGCTTCTGCTTTTTACATCTTTTGACACTGGCGAGACAAACTGTCCTGTTAAATCTTGAAGGTGACCAGTATTTTTTCCTTGTGAGACATACCAGAACTACCTGTATATTATGCTAGAAGGGCATTGTTAACAAGATGTGACAAAAAACTTTTCACATGTATTTCAAAAGCAAAATAGACTACCGGGTATTCATATTTTGTGTATAGAGGCATTAATTTTTACATGGTTAAATATTTGGTCTTTTATATATCAGTGTTGTTTTCAGATTTAATCAGTTTTCTAAATAGTGGAATGCTGTATTTAGTTTTTTAAAATGCATTAGCTACCAGATACAAAAAAAATAAAATATGATTTTTTTTTGTTCAATCATTAATGAAAGTGAAATAGTGAAATAATAATTCGCTTTTAACAGCCAGTTTGGTTCAGTTTTGTCAAATCAAGCAAAGAAACATCACTTATGAATTATTCACTCTCATAGAATCCATATTCATGTGAACTTTAATTGATCCCTATAGGTAGAGATGGGTTATGCATGAACTAGGCAGTTATTAGATGGAAAAGAATGTAAAAATTGGAAGTGAAACAAGGGTAAATCATTTGGTTGACTGATCGATCTAGAAAAACTCCTTCTTATACAGGTAAAAACTATTATTAACATACTTTTTTAACCTATATAATGAAATCAAACAGACCTAGAAAAATCCAATTGCACGAGTTTGCAATCTATTTATATCTATGTTTATGTTTATATCATGTTATATGACCGTCGGCAGTCTTCGGAGGTCACCTTGATGGTTAATTAGATGGCGTCTAGACTAAAATACACACGAAATACTGATACATACTATCGAGTCTATGTATCGTTAATTGTTTATTTTATACTTTTAATAATTTGGATATGCATTTTAATATGTTATAATTTGAATATAAGAATTTGAGTCAAATCGGTGAATATCAATTCGACAGCCAATGCCTCTTTAAGAGCCAAATTACAATCTGATGCATGACACTTTTACTTTGATCTCTTTTTTAAGGTAACTTAATACTTAATAATTCTGTGATGTTTTCTTGATAAGATCACTTTCTCAGCAGGGTCAATATGCACAATTCATTACAAGAAGACTACTTCAGTAACAGTTTCTTTAGTTTCTCAGTCCATATCGTAAACTAGCATATGTATGATGGCTCAATTAAAGTTGAGACAGTTGCACAAGTTTGTTTTGATTTTCAAGCTTGATTTGAGGGTGGCAAGTGAGCTAAATTTTATGCATGTCCCAACCCTAAAAGGTGGTCAAAAATATCACTTGTCTCATGAAATGATTACAAAATTTGTATCATAAATATTTTTTTAAATAAGTTTGTTGTAATTATTTATTAAAGGGACATTTCCTGTCAAATTCATGTTCAAGTTTTTATAATTCTTTTCTCTTCACATCAGCTCTATAAAACGGCACTTTAGTTCAATTATGTCCATTTTTAAAATCACATAATCCACAATGTATGACAGAATAATATTTTATGCTTTTTTTAAATGTGTTTTCCTCACTTTAAGGTCAATTAGGGGTCATAGTTAAATGTTTTAGTGTAAATTATTGATATTATACAACTATTTATACAATAGCTCAGCTGTATATAGTCCCTAGATTTTATATCATGTGTACATGCTCATCTGTGTGGTTGCCTCAACTTGACCTTATTTTTAAGGTTTAATGATTCCTCTTCAGGTAAATGATTAGTTTCTTGGTAACTATAAGAAATAGATCAACAGACTCAAGGTGAGGACTATATGCCCATTTGACTGTAACCTTATGTTTAAGGTTATGTGAAAATTTTGTATTGCAAAAAAATCATATATTCTTAAACTGATCTAATCACAAAACTTAAACATGTAAACTATGCAAAACATTCAAAGTCAATAGACCAGGACTGAGGGGGCAGGGCCAAATAATCACCATGGAAATGAGATTTACTAATGCTAATACATCTGCATACCAAATACCATTGACCTAACACTAGTGGTTCCCTATAAACTGACCTAATCACAAACTAATACATTGTTGATGCGCTGCTGGAAACAGCATGCCTAAGTCTTGCTTTCTTGATTTCCTTGACTCGAGACAAAAACGGTTCATCTGTAAATGAAAAGGACACATATTTTTGAAAGCTAAATTCTGCTATGTTGAAATCAAGAGGACAGAAATTTTTGCACAAGATTTCGGTCATTATTGTCTCGCCTGTGACGAAAGTCTCAGAATGCAATACATTGGGATTACAATCCAGGTCGACATTGAAACAAGGCCATAATTACATCAAAATTGATTTGACCAATTAAAATTCTTTAGTTCATTATTAAGGAAGGTCAAAAGCTTAAAAATATCGAACTGATATACTTTAGTATCAGGTAATTTTTATTTCTTTGCAGACATAAAAACAGTATAAACAATCAACAACAAATTTCCAGTTCTAATATCTTGGATATCCCTCTGGTGATTGATGAGATGGTATGCAATGCAGAAATCTACATTTATCTCCATAATTACATATTCCCCTTTTTATAAAATGTCTGCATGGATCTTTCCTCCTTTCTTCTGGGTTTTTTGCTGTTATCCAAGAGGCCTGCTTTTTAGGTTTAGGGGTTTCCTGCAAATATTTTAATCTACTATCATTATGAATTAATACAAATACCTATATAAATAAATGTGGATAGTGTCCACATGTGGACACAGATGATGCCCCCGCTTGCATATCATATAGTTATAAAGGGACATAACTGAAGAACAGTAAAAGTGACGATACCCAAATTTGAACTTGATCTGAGTTTTGTGGTAATAAGCATTGTGTGTTAGTCTCATAACATTTGGTTGAGGCTAACTTAAGTAGAGAACAGCAACTAAAAATTCAGCAATTTTTCTACTTGTAAACATACATAACTCTAGAACGGTTGTGTATAAGTTTTATAACATTTGGTTGAGACAAACTAAGTTAGAGAATGGAAACGAAAAATTCAGCAATTTTTATGTTTATAAAGGGACATAACTCAAGAATGGTAAAAGTGTCGCCACCAAATTTCGTACTTAATCTGTATTATGTAGTAATAAGCATTGTGTATAAGTTTCATAACATTTGGTTGAGACAAACTAAAGTTAGAAAACGGAAACAAAAAATTTGTACTTGATCTTAGTTTTGTAGTAATGAATATTGTGTATAGGTTTCATAATGTTTGGTTGGGGCAAACTTAAGTTACAGAATGGAAACTAAAAATTTTGCAATCTTTCGATTTATAAAGGGCATAACTCAATAATGGTTAAAGTGATACTACCCAAATTCAACTTGATCTGTGTTTTATCAGTGGAAGTCAAAAATAAACATTGCATTGTATAAAGCATTGATTGTAGTTGATTCAACTATAATCATGGACAAAGGAAGATAACTCCAATTTTAAAAAATTACTTGATATTTAGAAGAAAATAAAAATTTAGCAATTTTTCCATTTATAAAGGGGCATAACTCTAGAACTGTATAAGTGACACCACCAAAATTCAAACTTGATCTGTGTTTTGTGGTAATAAGCATTGTGTATAAGTTTCATAACATTTGGTTGAGGCAAACTAAAATTAGAGAACGGAAACGAAAAATTCAGCCATTTTTCCATTTGTAAAGGGGCATAACTCTAGAACGGTAAAAGTGACACCACCAAATTTCAAACTTGATCTGTGTTTTGTGGTAATAAGCATTGTGTATAAGTTTCATAACATTTGGTTGAGGCAAACTAAAGTTAGAAAATGGAAACAAAAAATTCAGCATTTTTTTCATTTGTAAAAAGGCAAACTCTAGAATGGTAAAAGTGACGCCACCAAAATTCAAACTTGATCTGTGTTTTATGGTAATAAGCATTGTGTATAAGTTTCATAACATTTGGTTGAGGCAAACTCAAGTTAGAGAACGGAAACCAATTTTGGGACTACGTACGTACATACGTACAGACGGACAAGGGTAAAACTTTATGCCCCCTCCGCTACGGCGGGGGCATAAAAATGTCATACTCTATATTCATTTTGATCAGTTGTATAAATCTTTAATATATTTCAGATAAAATGTGAATAAAGAATTTGTTCATATGTTCATATATGGACCCTTAGATGGCAAGATATAAATTCTATAGAATGCATTACAAAACTCATGCTGATGAAGATAACTCCAATAACATATAGAATATATTGTAAAATGTATGTCATAGTGTTGTTTCGATGATCGGAATAAATCGGAAATCAGTTGGTTGGGCCTGGCGATGTCGATAATCAATTGGGATTTTGTTCAATCAATTGTCGTTATAGTTTCCGGACTTTTAGCATATCAACTTCCGGTCCACTTCCGGTTTTCAATTTACATGAGCAGTCAAAGAAATTGTAACGAAAAATATCAGTCGATGACAATAACAATGCCAAACATCCTATAATCAAAGACATAAGCAATTTCTTTCTTTATAAACGTGGTAAAAGCATTGACTATACAAATTGATTGTCTGTTATTTAAAATAAATAACTTTTTCTGAAATACTTTTCTTTCAATTCCAGTACTTGTTACTCGAGGGCGTACATGAAATCATTCTAATTTTAGACAAAATAATTTTTTTGCTACATTAGAACATGGTGCAATGGCTTTTATTAAAGTTTCATCCATTTGTTGCGTCAAAAACGTCACATTCCTTTCCAAATTGCTTGTTAAACATCGTTTATCTTTGTAAATTTTCCCAGTTTGTCCGCCATTGAAATATATACAAATCACGGATTGGATACGGATCAACTATGTAAGAATTCCACATTCTTGCAATTATAAGTTCAGACGCACGAATGACACAGCTGACAAGAAAAATGATCACAAAATCACACGAATTAACAGACAATGGTTGGATCCCCTAAGTTAAATGTATATATTTCAATGCAAATGCATTGTTTTATTTTTTGATTAATTTTAAATTGCTTAAAATTAAATGCTTTATTTATCTTTTTTTTAATGAGAAACATTCAACTTTTTATACAGCTATGTATTTGAAATTATAATGTGAGTAATACCATTGAAATTTAAAAATTTTAGTGTGATTGTTGGTAATAAATGTTGTAATTATAAGACAAAATATGGTCAATCTGAATCTGGATTTTAATTGATTCACTGTTTTAATTGCTAAATAAAATATGAAAAGGAAACAAAAAATCAAATATGAACATATAAAACTCTGCAATGATATGGAATATACGCTGTTGACATGTACAAATGTGACTAAATGCATGATTTCATTTTAAAATAAAATGCTTCGCTGAGCACAGCCTGATACAACTGTAGAGGTCGATCCATGAACAGTTGGGGCAAGTTTGGACACAATATTCAAGCTTGATACTGTCTGAATTTGGATTGTGATAAAATTTTCGACATAATATAGGTTTCTGACACAAAATAAATGTGGTCAAAGATCTTAAAAATCTATTGCGCAATACTGTGCTATTGCGCAATACTTTCAATTGAAGATTTCTTCTTGAAACTTTTCAAAAATTTTGAAGAAAAAAAATTGGGAAAAAAAATACCCCCCCCTCCCCAATCTTTTTGACCCCCCTTGGAGTAATTACCCCCAAACTCAATCCCAGCCTTTCCTTTGAGGTATGGAACCTTGTAGTACAATTTTAGAGAGATCCATACACTTAAACACAAGTTATTGTCTGGAAACTAGAAAAATGCTTGTTTCTGGCCCCTTTTTTGCCCCTAAAAATTCCTGCATGTTTGGGGCAATTACCCCAAACTCAATCCCAGCCTTCCCTTTGTGATATGGAACCTTGTGGTACAATTTCAGTGAGATCTATACACTTACACACAAGTTATTGTCCGGAAACTACAAAAATGCTTGTTTTTGGCCCCTTTTTGGCCCCAAATTCCTAAACTGTTGGTACCATAACCCCCAAAATTAATCCCAACCTTCCTTTTGTGGTATTGAACCTTCTTGTAAAATCCATTCACTTAAACTAAATTTTTGTCTGGAAACCAAATGTGTCTTCGTACGATGACGACAACATCATAGCATTATACGAACCCAAAAATTTTTTTGCCGTCGTATAAAAAGGGCAAGCTCTAATGATGCAATTATAACCGATAGTCGGTTGGTTACTGTCAACCGATAGTAATAGATAATCGGTTGATAATTTCAACCGATTATCCAACACTAGTATGTCAATTACCTGCCCTGGTATGACAGTAAATGGAAAACATTACCATATTCCCTGTTATCTACACTCATATTGCAACTAATTGAGAAAAATAACATTTGAGGCCTTTTACAAGGTGTATTGCATAATTTCAAAGTTTGCATGATTCTTTTTTGGACTACTACTTAAATATAAATCAAATGTTTCTGCATCAATTCTTATTGTAAACTACCTAATTCTGACAAGCACTATTTATTGTAAACTACCTCATTCTGACAAGCACTATTTTCCTGATCTTGATCTGTTAACTCACTTTCTGTAAAATATCAAAGAAATATACCATGTTTTAATATAACTTTATATCTAAAAGAGACACACAAATAACAAAAAGAAAAGATTGTTTTTGATATAAAAAAGTATGTCTTCCCTGGTTTTATTTTCCTTTTTCAAGTTTAAATGGCAATAAGACTTTACTGCTGGCCCATGAGTATTCGTCCTAAGCAATCATTACAAAAGAATGGCTAAGTATTTGAAAACTTTATATTTTTTTACCAAGTAAAGTCCAATATTGCTCCACAATGTATGAAAATATTTAAATACATAACAATTATTTTGATTGGAGTTGTAATATTATGATTAAAATCTCAAAACTCCAAAACAACAATAGCCACAAGTTGCTACAAAGGAGCCAATGTTTCCTGTCCATATACTTGAATTTTTCATATATCTTGCATTTCAGAGGGGCATAACTTCCACACAAAAATAATGATCTGTGCTTATTTTCCCATTCATATGAGAAATGTAAGTGCGAGAGTGCATACAACATTGGTTTTCCATATTATTTACCTTTTTAAAGGCCATAGCTCCCCCTAAATATATTCAAACCAAGTTGTTTTCCAATCCTTGTTAGATATTGCAGATACAAACCTTAAAGTCCAATAAACTTTAATGAAAAATGTAGCACAAAAGCAATGTTGATTTTCCATTTGATTTACACTCAAGAAAAATATTTAATCAATTTCTTTAACTAATACAATGCCAAATTTTGTAACTATCCAATGCAACAGTCTTTTGCTTAAAATTACCACATAATTTTCTTTTCTTCACCTCTTCATTATTGCCATCTGACTCCTTTCTGTCATTTTCCTCCTCTTCCTCAATCTGATCCTTCTGTTAAAAATTCAACAGTCATTTCAATGCAAAGAAAATTTTTCTTCAAATCATCAAATATATTCATTACTTATACAATAACAAGATCATCAATTCAGATGTCTAGAACATAAAATGAAATTAGGAAAGAAACACATCTAAATTTTATGAAATTAAAACTAATGATTAGAGGAAAAATGGATTACAATACTGCTAACCCTCAATTCAAACTTATAACTTCCCTGGTACTGATCATTAACTGTGTAACATCATGCCAGTCTACAACTCTATTTCAATATAACCTTCTTTCCAATAGCAACATGACGGGGGCCTCATGTGGAGCTGGATCTGCTTACCCTTCTGGAGCACCTGAGATCACCCCCAGTTTTTGGTGGGGTGCCTGTTGCTCAGTCTTTAGTTTTCTATGTAGTGTTTTGTATTCTGTTGTTTGTCTTTATGTCTTTTTTTTTTGGTTTTTTTTTTTTTGGCCATAGTATTGTCAGTTTGTTTTCAACTTATGTGTTTGATTATCCCTTTGATATCTTTCACCTCTCTTTTAGCGTATCAGAAACTTGTGTATTTGAAGAAAAAAAAATGACCTGTTTGCCTTTTTTTCCTTGTAACTTCCTTTTTCTCTCCTCTTGTAACTCATTTGACATTGTACGTGTGGCTTTAGCCTTGGGTCCCCAGTGTGGTTCAGGATTGGCCTGATATCTGAGCAGTTTATCTTTCCTTGATTGAGGATTAGCCTCAGGATGTTCCTCAAATGATACCTTAGTAGAACATTCTTTTTCAAGTAAGGTTTTTATTGCAGTATCTTCTAATCTTGCTGGTTTTACAGGATGACCTTTGACCCAAGCTCTGATAATGTCCTGTGGAATAAAATACAGTACATGTTAAGTTTGATCATCAACAATCCACATAAAGCTGATGTAAAACTTAACTACTATGTTCCCTTAAAGTAGCCACCTAAATCATGTCAAATTCTACAAACAAATATCTTAAGATATTCAATGTCTCATTGGCAATCATACCATCATCTCCTTGTTACTAGAAATACAAAAATTAATTTTGATAATTTTTTCTACAATATTTTATAGATATAAGAAGATGTGGTATGGGTGCCAATGAGACAACTCTCCATCCAAGTCAAAATTTATAAAAGTTATCCATTATAGGTCAAAGTACAGTCTTTGTACTACTTTGACAACTACTGAACATCAGATTCCTTTATGCCTGTTAATACTAATTATTCCTTAAAGGGGCATTATCTATGATTTAGACAAAAAATTAAATACCCGGTATATTTTTTTTTATTCAAACATTTATAAAAGCAGAATTGCGAAATGATATTTTGCTGATTTTTTTATTGGCTTGCAAGTCAATAATTCTACTTCATTTAAATCCTTATTCATTCCAGCTTCAATTTGAACCTCAGATGGAGATGGATTGCGCATGTGCTAAGCATGTTATGTTATCAAAAAGAAAAAAATGTAAGTTTTGAAAAGTATAATAAGGAAACCATCTGGAAAAACAATTTCTTGTCTAATATAATCATTCTTATCAGGTTAAATGTTGATTTACATATTTTTTAAATCTATGACATGTAAACCAACAGACCTCAAAATATTATTAATATACAATTGCACATGCTTCTTTAAATGCAGGAATTTCCTGTTTTATTGGTTTATATCTTGATATCTATATCATTAACGGGAATTTCGAAGCTTAATACAAAAATTTATGATAAAAGAGATGATTTTTCATTTCCTATCGTTAATTATCCATTTTTAGATGGTGACGTTCCCTTGTCACCATCTTATGGTGTTTATATATCTCAACTTGTACGATTCGCTCGTGTATGTAACAACGTATTAGATTTTAGCGAGAGAATTTTATGTATTACTGAAAAATTATTACACCAGGGTTTTCGATATCATAAACTAGTCAAAACATTTACTAAATTTTATCATCGGTATAAGGACATCATTCGTAAATATAACTCAACATGCAGACATCTTATACGTTCCGATATTTCACATCCAATCTTTTATGGTAATATTCTTTACAAAGCACAAAATGTCAGTATTCACCTCAAAAGCTAACAAAACCTTTAAACAGACTTATTAAGAAGGGATATAGTTACGATACTGTTGTCAGGTCATTAAAGATTGCATATTTTGGCTTTAATATTGATTCACTTATAGGGTCTTTGCATCGGAATTAAACATATTTATTCTAAAATCAGTTGTTGGCATGACACGGGTTATGTTCTTCTCATATATTTTATGATGGTATAATACTAAACCCCTAACAGGAGGGATTGTGCCTGATATTCATATGATGAAGACATAATCTTTCAATCAGTTTAATTGAGGTCTGGAGCTGGAATGTCAGTAACTGCTAGTAGTCTGTTGTTATTTATGTATTATTGTCATTTTGTTTATTTTCTTTTGTTTCCTTTTCTGACATCGGACTTGGACTTCTCTTAAACTGAGTTTTACTGTGCGTACTGTTGTACGTTTGTTTTTTCTACATTGGCTAGAGGTATAGGGGGAGGGTTGAGATCTCAAAAAACATGTTTAACCCCGCCACATTTTTGCGCCTGTCCCAAGTCAGGAGCTTCTGGCCTTTGTTAGTCTTGTATCATTTTTAATTTTAGTTTCTTGTGTATAATTTGGAGTTAAGTATGACGTCCATTATCACTGAACTAGTATACATATTTGTTTAGGGGCCAGCTGAAGGACGCCTCCGGGTGCGGGAGTTTCTCGCTGCATTGAAGACCCATTGGTGGCCTTCGGCTTTTGTCTGCTCTATGGTCGGGTTGTTGTCTCTTTGACATATTCCCCATTTCCATTCACAATTTTATAAGAGTTTTCAGGTACCTTTAGACAGTAGAAAAAAAATAGTCACATCGTAATGGGAGCTATTTTATAATCTGTTGTTAGGAGCGACTGCTTAACCTAAACTGGCTCAGGTCTAAAAGGCACTTACCACAGATTCCAGTAACTTAATTAAGGCATATCCACCAGGGGGGGGGGGGGGGGGGGGGGGGGATATAATCTGGCAATTATTTTTTGCTATTGTGTTTCAAAATGTAACATTGAAAATGATTTGTCATAATGAACATGATGAATGAAGAATTTCATTAGTCTGAAACATCCCATACTATATCTGTTTAATCACACTGTCACAATAATGATCCTCGTGCTAAACATTGTTGGCGGAAATGCCTATCACACAAAAGTACTCAAATCAGTGATCTGGAAGGATTTTTTCTCTATGGGCCCAGGGCCCCCCAAAAATAAATTCAATGAGCCATTTTTAGAATTAATGGGCCATGTTGTCAAATGAGTGGGCCATTCGTTTACAATAAAAAAAATAAATAAAAAAAGTGTATATTTCACTGTACTTACAAGTATGATTCTAATTAATATCATGGATATTGTTCCTGTGATTTTGTAATTTCAATTTCAATGAATATACAATAACTTCTTCCAAACCGGACAATATTTACGATACCTTTATTTACAATGTTAAAACTTGTACTGTTCCCTTGTTCATGTTCATGGTTTTTTTTACATTAAATTTGGGTCTTCGTCGATACCATACTTATTCCAGACGTTCCGTATTAGAGGACGTTTCTGACATTTCCTCTGCACTTGTATTATTATTACTTCATCACAATGACAAGAATAACAGTAGAGAGCAACGTTAATTGATAAGACACAACAACAATTCGCTGAAGGCATGTTTACAAAATGTCAAAACGAGCCAAAGACCAAAAAAATTGACAAGGACAGTTAAGCCCCTTTTATGGAGACAAATACTATGCTATTCATAAAAAGGCTTTTGGATTTTTCAATCGAAATAATAGCAAGCTTACTTAAAAGATTATAATTAGGTACTAGCCAATTTTCACAAATTTAAAGTTGTTTATAAAAAAATTATATCATGAATGATGGTTAATTACGTTTTTTGGGTTATCAGTCATACCGCATGTTGCTAATATTACAATAGGAAAACACCCGAGACGTCCCAAAAATATATAGGTGCTCCTATCATTGGAGTAAACACTACACAGTTGTGTACTCACACATGGCGGCACGAAATACGATCGGAAATCCATTTGACGATATCTCAACGTTTCAAAACGAAGTGAAAAATATCATGCGCCACGCGGGCGCTTACATTTGTCACTCTATGCGCCATTTCTGGTCGATAAGTGCAATTGGCGCAAGGCGCACGTCCTTCCCGATCACTGCTCAAATTCTGCATTACATATGAAGATCTTTGCCATAAATTTGTATTGATAAACACTTTAAGATCTCTTTCTAATATTGTATGTGTAAATCAAATATTTAATGAATGTATCATAATCATGTTAATCTAGATAAAGATTTTATTATTACTAAAAACGATCTACAGACCTACCCATAAGACATTGTGAGGAGCATCTGTCTTGATTGAATTCTTCATGGCATGTGACAATGAAACTTTATATCCTGCATTTAATAAGGCTGATCTGAATAATAAAAGTTACAAGGTATTATAGCAGAATAGATAATGCATAACATTTATCTTATTTGAAATTTGAAATCATAAGATTTCAATACAAGAATGTCAGTATTAACAATCAATTTCATACATATAAATATACTCCATTTATGTATCTGAGTACATTGTATTCCAAAATGGTGTCAGCCTATATTATAAATGGTCAACATGGTGAAATCAGATGGTAGTGGTTGTATTTTTTTTATGTAATACATCATTCTAAAATTAAACATAAAAATTTACATCTTCAGTTGTTTTTCATGTAAATCATATACACACATATCTTAACAATGAAATGAATACATTGTATGATACAATCAACATGATCAATAAGGCCATTTGAATCTGTAGGTCAATACAAATTTGTAAGATATTTTGACAAGTACATGTATGTTATTTAAAAAAATTTTTGTATGTGATAAAATTGAGGTTAGAAATGGGAAATGTGTCAAAGAGACAACAACCCAACCAAAGAGCAGAAAACAGCCGAAGGCCACCAATGGGTCTTCAACACAGCGAGAAAATCCTGCACCCGGAGGCGGGCTTCAGCTGGCCCCTAAACAAAATGTGTACTAGTTCAATGAAAATGGACGTCACACTAAACTCCAAAACATATAAATGAACTAAAATTAAAAAACATACAAGACTAACAAAGGCCAGAGGCTCCTGACTTGGGACAGGCGCAAAAATGCAGCGGGGTTAAACATGTTTTGTGAGATCTCAACCCTCCCAAAGATACATACCAAGTTATCCACTCACCTGAACTGTATAAGTGGCATGGTTTCAGCATGCACAAAACCAAACAGTGAATCTAGTTTGAAGTAAAGTGGAACTTCTTGTAACTCTTCTTTCTGAAGAGTTAACATTCCCACAATTCTCTCTGATGTTTTAAGGGAATCTTTATTGTCATTGACTCGGTTTATCACACTGTCAATAAAATCAATGTCACAAATAGGATCTGCCCAAATCGGTCCACCAATGTGATGCTTACTTCCACAGTGCTCACATTTATCTGTGACTGGAGGGCCTGTAGCTGGACTGTACTTGAAGTTATTTCCCTTGGTGGGTATCATGGCTCCAATTCTTTGTAAAGAGAATGACTTACACTCATTGCAGCTATAAACCATAGCCATTTTACTAGCTGACCTTTTCACTTTACCTTGACCTGTATGTACCCTAACAAAAACTCTGAAGTAAAAGTCAATGCTCAGTGAGATTAAAGGTACAATATATCTAGAGTATCTATTAGCATGTGATTCAATACACTGTAGAATAATTCTCAAACCCATCTCATGACATGATGTAGTTCTCAAGGACATTGCTCCATATTTAGAGTAACAAGTTTCACCGGCATTCCCACATAAAACAGCAGCATCTGTACATGTTATACATAGTAAACCACCATCTTTAACAGCTTGAACAGTGGCATCCAAGAACTTTGATGGACTTCCATAAGGGTCAAGGTCAATAACATCAAAATGTTCCTTGGGATTCCTATTTCTGTACATTACCATGGCTGCATCATCACAGCTTGAACTGACCAGTTCCTGAAGATTGTTCTTTTCAATATTTTTATTGATAAAAGAAACAGCATTTTCATCAAAGTCATTAGCTATAATGGAATTGACCCCAGGAATTTCCAATCCAAATCTCACTGACCTTAGTCCTGAAGCTGATAATCCTTCCAAAATTTTAATTCCATTGTCATACTTCTTCCCAGGTTCTAACTCCAATTCCTTTTCATCCTTGACCTTGTCAGTAGAAGAAGTGTCTTCCTTTTCATCCTTGACAATGTCAATAGTGTCTTTCTTTTCATCTTTTTGATCAACTTTCATACAGTCAGATTCCTGTTTGACCTTCGACTGTTTAGATTTTTTACCATCTGTTGAATCTGTTAACCTGTCCTTGGCAAACTGAGATATAACAGCAACAGATAAATCTCTGTTGAATTCCTGTACTGGGTTATAGAAAACATTCTTTGGAAACAAAACCTCTGCTTTCCCTTCTTTGACAGTATTACATTCTATCAGAACCTCTGCTTTACCTTCTTGAACAGTATTACATTCCATTGTCTCTGTACCTCCTGGTTTTACTGTTGTACACATAAACCTTAATAAATGTGTTTGATATTGTGAGGTGTATAATGGTCTACATAATCCAAACGTCTTGATCATATCTGGTAAATTCCATTAGGGAAAGATCTGAAAAGAAAAGAAAATGTGTTTATATTAACAAATGATTCTATGATTTCTTGCACCTGTTAATTTTGTGAGATAAAATTTAAGTAACATTTGTCTCCCTTGATTTTCTTTCCTAATTACTGTGAGTTCCTTTTTTTTTAAATTTCTAATAAATTTTCTTCATGTTTCCATAGTTTTAAAATCAAAAAATGATTTCAATAATATTTGGAATACTTTCCTTTAAGCTATATACAATATGACAGATGAACATTTTGGAGTTTTCCTTCAAAATAGCTACTTGTTGTTTAAAATCTTTGAATATTCTCTTTCTTCTGTAATTATTTCACAGTATCACCTTGATCACAGATTTTCAGGCCACAAGAACAGTTGGGTTACTTTTTTTGAAAACATTAGAAAACTAACGTGGCAGAAAATTGTGCATTGATACCACAAGAGTGCACATGCTGAAATGTCTCCCCTATTTTACTTATCATTGAATTCATGTTGAAAGTCTGTAATATGAAGGTTTTACTACAAGTATCACATAAATTTAACATTATCAATGTTCTACGAAAATGAGGTTACGGTAAAATGAACCATGCCAGACAGACATGTACACCTTACAATCATTCTGGGGCCTCTTTGGCTGAGTGATCTAAGTAGTCGTACTACTGTATAACAAGCCTGTCAACACTGAGGTTGTGAGTTCAAATCCTGCAAGTGGCAGATGCACTCGACTCCAATCTTAGTTGACTAGGATTGTCAATTTTCCTACCAAAGGTCGGTGGTTCTCTCCGGGCTCTCGTGCTTCCTCCACCAATAAAAACTGACCGCCACAAAATAGCACAATAGATCAATCTTACAATCATTCCATACACCAAATATAGTTGACCTATTGCTTATAGTAACTGATAAACTAACAAAATTATGAAAACTTATCATTGACCAATGAACCATGAAATTGAGATCAAGGTCATATGAATCTTGCCAGACAGACATGTACACTTTACAATCAATTCCATTCACCAAATATAATTGACTTATTGCTTATAATATCTGAGAAATAGACCAAACTACAACAAGAGTGCACACGCTGAAATGTCTCGCCTTCTTTACTAATCATTGATATTATGTTGATAGTTCTAAATATAAAGCTTTACTACAACTATCACATAAACTGAACATGATCCAAGAAAATGAGGTCAAGGTCATATAAACCAAACAAGAAATACATGTACACCTTACAATCATTCAATACACGAAATATAGTTGACCTATTGCTTATAGTTTCTAAGATACAGACTTAACCAAGAAAACTAAACATTGACTAATGAACCATGAAAATGAGGTCAAGGTCAGATGAACCATGCCAGGCAGACATGTACAGCTTGCAATCCTTCCATACAACAAATATAGTTGACCTATTGCTTATAGTAATAGACAAACAGACCAAAACACAAAAACTTAACACTGAGCTATGAACCGTGAAAATGAGGTCAAGGTCAAATAAAACCAGCCAGACTGACATGTACATCATAAAATATTTCCATACACCAAAGATAGTTGACCTATTGCATATAGTATTAGAAAAAAAGACCAAAACTCAAAAATTTAACATTGACCACTGAACCATGAAAATGAGGTCAAGGTCAGAAGACACCTGCCAGCTAGACATGTACACCTTACAATCATTCCATACACCAAATATAGTAGACCTATTGCATAAAGTATAAGAAAAACAGACCAAAACACCAAAACTGAACTATAACCACTGAACCATGAAAATGAGGTCAAGGACAAATGACACCTGCCAGACAGACATGTACACCTTACAATCATTCCATACACCAAATATAGTTGACCTATTGCTTATAGTATTATGAAGGGACTGGAGTGAACTGTATTCTATGTTAAACATTCATGCATAAGTGACCTTATTTTAACATTTTCACACCTTCCAATGTTTTTGTTAATTACGGTTTAGTAATGATCCCTTAAAAGTTTTTATTATTTATTATCACTATTAATGTTATTTAAAGATTTTTATAAAATAATCTATTTCAATGTAAGTAATCAGCAGTTAAATAATAAAATACATTCCATACACCAAATATAGTTGACCTATTACTTATAGCATCTGAGAAGAAGACCAAACAACAGAAACTTAACATTGACCAATGAACCATGAAAATAAGCTCAAGGTCAGATGAAACCTGTCAGACAGACGTGCACACCTTACAATCATTCCATACACCACATATAGTTGACCTATAACTTATAGTATCTGAGAAGAGGACCAAACAAGAGCAACTTAACATTGACCAATGAGCCATGAAAATGAGGTCAAGGACAAATGACACCTGCCAGACAGACATGTACACCTTACAATCATTCCATACACCAAATATAGTTGACCTATTGCTTATAGTATTAGAAAAACAGACCAAAACACAACAAGAGTGCACACGCTGAAATGTCTCGCCTTCTTTACTAATCATTGATATTATGTTGATAGTCCTAAATATAAAGCTTTATTACAACTGTCACATAAACTTAACATTAACCAAGTAACCTTAACATTGACCAATGAACCATGAAAATGAGGTCAAGGTCAGATGAACCATGCTAGGCAGGCATGAACAGCTAACAATTCTTCCATACAACAAATATAGTTGACCTATTGCTTATAGTTTAAGAAAAACAGACCAAAACACAAAAACTTAACACTGAGCAATGAACATTGAAAATGAGGTCAAGGTCAAATAAAACCTGCGTGACTGCCAAATAGATCATAAAATATTTCCATACACCAAATATAGTTGAACTATTGCATATAGTATTAGAAAAAAAGACCAAAACTCAAAAAACTTAAACTTTGACTACTGAACCATGAAAATGAGGTCAAGGTCAGATGACACCTGCCCGCTAGACATGTACACCTTACAATCATTCCATACACCAAATATAGTAGACCTATGGCATACAGTATAAGAATAACAGACCAAAACACAAAAACTTAACTATAACCACTGAACCATGAAAATGAGGTCAAGGTCAGATGACACCTGCCAGTTGGACATGTACACCTTCCAGTCCTTCCATACACCAAATATACTAGACCTATTGCTTATAGTATCTGAGATATGGACTTGACCACCAAAACTTAACCTTGTTCACTGATCCATGAAATGAGGTCAAGGTCAAGTGAAAACTGTCTGACGGGCATGAGGACCTTGCAAGGTACGCACATACCAAATATAGTTGAACTATTGCATATAGTATTAGAAAAAAAGACCAAAACTCAAAAACTTAACTTTGACCACTGAACCTTGAAACTGAGGTCAAGGTCAGATGACACCTGCCCGCTAGACATGTACACCTTACAATCATTCCATACACCAAATATAGTAGACCTATGGCATACAGTATAAGAAAAACAGACCAAAACACAAAAACTTAACTATAACCACTGAACCATGAAAATGAGGTCAAGGTCAGATGACACCTGCCAGTTGGACATGTACACCTTACAGTCCTTCCATACACCGAATATACTAGACCTATTGCTTATAGTATCTGAGATATGGACTTGACCACCAAAACTTAACCTTGATCACTGATCCATGAAATGAGGTCGAGGTCAAGTGAAAACTGTCTGACGGGCATGAGGACCTTGCAAGGTACTCACATACCAAATATAGTTATCCTATTACTTATAATAAGAGAGAATCTAACATTACAAAAAATCTTAACTTTTTTTTCAAGTAGTCACTGAACCACGAAAATGAGGTCAAGGACATTGGACATGTGACTGACGGAAACTTCGTAACATGAGGCATCCATATACAAAGTATGAAGCATCCAGACCTTCCACCTTCTAAAATATAAAGCTTTTAAGAAGTTAGCTAACGCCGCCGCCGCCGTTGCCGCCGCCGCCGGATCACTATCCCTATGTCGAGCTTTCTGCGACAAAAGTCGCAGGCTCGACAAAAACTTAACATTGACCAATGAACCATGAAAATGAGGTCAAGGACAAATGACACCTGCCAGTCAGACATGTACACCTTACAATCATTCCATACACCAAATATAGTTGACCTATTGCTTATAGTATTAGAAAAACAGACCAAAACACAAAAACTTAACATTGACCAATGAACCATGAAAATAGGTCAAGGACAAATGACACCTGCCAGACAGACATGTACACCTTACAATCATTCCATACACCAAATATAGTTGACCAATGGCTTATAGTATTAGAAAAACAGACCAAAACACAAAAACTTAACATTGACCAATGAACCGTGAAAATGAGGTCAAGGTTAGATGAAACCTGCCAGACTGACATGTATCCCTTATAATCATTCCATACACCACATATAGCTGACCTACTGCTTGTAGTATCTGAGAAACGGACCTAATCACGTAACTTTAACCTTGATCACTGATCCATGAAATGAGGCTGAGGTCAGGTGAACCCTGTCTGATGGACATGTAGACGTTGCAAGGAACCCATATACCAAATATAGTTATCCTATTACTCATAATAAGTGAGAAATTTACATAACAAAAAAACTAAACTTTTTTTTCAAGCAGTCGCTGAACCATGAAAATAAGGTCAAGGACATTGGACATATGACAGACGGAAAGTTCGTAACATAAGGTATCTGCATACAAAGTATGAAGCATCCAAGTCTTCTACCTTCTGAAATATAAAGCTTTATACAAATAGTTTACGCCGCCGGCGCCGCCAGATAGTAATACCTATGTCTCACTTTCTGCGACTTTCGTCGAGGCAAGACAAAAACTAAACAGTGTCCAATGAACCATGAAAATGAGGTCAAGGTGAGTTTAAACCTGCCAGACAGACATGTACACCTTAAAATCATTCCATATACCAAATATAGTTGCCCTATTGCTAATAGTATCTGCGAAAAAGACTAAACCACAAAAACTAAACATTTTTTCCAATGAACCATGAAATTGAGGTCAAGGTCAGAGGAAACTTGCTAGTCTGACATGTACACCTTTCAATCATTCCGTACACCAAATATAGTTGACCTAAGTCTTATAGTATCTGAGATATGGACTTGACCTTGTAACTTTTACCTTGATCACTGTTCCATGAAATGAGGTCATTTACCCGGTCAAGGTCAGGTGAACTCTACCTGATGGACATGTAGACTTGCAAGGAACCCATATACCAAATATAGTTATTCTATTACTTGTAATTAATTTGAGTATTTCTTTTGACAAAAAAAATGGACCATAAAATTGAGGTCAAGGACAATGGACATATGACAGACGAAAACTTGGTGACATAAGGTATCTGTATACAAGGTATGAAACATCCAGGTCTTCTACCTTCTGAAAAATAAAGCTTTATACAAATAGTTTACGCCGTTGCCTGATAGCATGCCCTAGATAAATCAGAGTTCAAGATAAGCTGCGTATTTGCATGATCACGCAATACAAATAATTAAAAACCCAATGCAATTGCCCATTGCAGGGTTCAATAACCCAATTAATTCAAAGGAAAACCCAATTATATGCCAAAACCATGAGTTCTTAACGCTTTTATTCGCTATCCTTTGCGTTATTTACCCTTATCTGATTACAGTCGTCGCGTAAATCTATTTTTATAATATTTATAATTGGAAATGTCCTTTTGTTCTTAAAATAGAGCCCTGCATCAAGTAGCTGTAATGGGTCCCTGTTGGAATTTTCTGTTGCTCAAAAGGTACACGTGTTTATGAAAACATTTCGATCTTCTCAGCGTTTATCCAATTATCGTGTGACATGCTGTCATATTTTTTCCAATTGCTCGGGATTTATCATAACATACAATGAATTAAAACGAAAGTAAATGTCCGATAAAAATATTGAATAGAAGCATGTTTTCGGCTTCTTTTTGATAGCTGAGGGAAAGTTATGATGATAACAAGACTCAGTTAGTGATTTTAGGAAGCGTCCATTGAACGCACGGGCGTGTTTGCGTACCTTAACGAGAACATTGCTAAAGAACGATAAACACGGGGTTTCGTCAAAAACGAAATCAGTTGGAAAAAGTGAAAGGCCAAATCAATTATGACATGATATGTAGTTGGAAAGCATCGGAAACCAAAAGTTCTGATAAGGGACAACTTAACCCATATTTATGTAAATTGAATTAAACAAAAACAGTTTATATATTATTTTTTTTTCATTTTAGTTGATGAATGAATACACTTATCTGTTGTTTACGTCAAATTATGCAGCTTGACACTTTCTTTGTTTTGGTCTAATTGTTCTGGATGCTTAAGATAGTTGTCTTATTGGCAAGTGCAGTATAACATTGTCATTTATTTACTTGATGTTGCAGAATTATTTGTAAATTTAAATTGAATGTGGTCTCCATCATTAAACCACCCTATAAATCTCAAGGTTTTGGGGTATATCTTAAATCTGGGAACTACTTTTTATTTTTATTTAAAAGTAGATCTGGCAAATAGGTGAAAGGACTGGCAAAACTTTCTTACAGCACCTAAATTTCACATATATTACATAAAAATCTAAACACTTAGCCACACCTACCCCAACTATAAACTGTAGGGTGATCATATGGGATCTAGAAAGGCAATTAGTTACTGTCCAACTAGTGACACCAGCTGCAGTTTACATAAGTTTTGAGAAAATACAAAACTGACAGAACGTTTAAAACGGGACACAAATTAAACGTACAATTGCTCGTCAGTGAATAAACCAAATAAAACAGCTAAGCACATATACAAAGAAAGAAACACATTTAAGATGGAAACACATCTGGGGTTGATATAATGTGATTATAACATGCCTAAATATTCAATATTGTGTTGATGAAAAAACCCAATACATTAAGGAGCTTGGTGGTGAAAAACCAAATTTGATATTTGCTTGAGGGGTGAATTGGAATTGATAATGCAATTAAAAAACTTTATCAAACTTTATCACCCAATTACATAAAAAAAATGGTGGGTAAAAACCCCAATTTGTGAATTCTTATCTGGAGCTCTGTCAAATGCATTTTATGTTTTAGAAAATTAAAAACTTATCTGGATATTGCAGTGCACTTTTTTCGTTCATACAAAAGATGCCAAAATAAACAAAGTTGGGAAAGAGGTTTGAGAATTTCCCACAGGTAATAATTGAAGTGAACTGTATTGTCATTATCAACACATATTCATTAGCGGGAGAAATATGAATGCCTCCTCAAATCAAACCTATTAGAAAAACGAATTATTACAGAAGAGTGTCCACCATGCACTTGCACTGCACTATCATTAGAATAGTAGAATAGAATGATGGTATAAATGGATGAAAATTTGCCAGTAGAGTTATTAAGATGATCTGCTATATATATATAACTGTTATACAAATATTAGATTATACTGATAACAAATGATTGTCCCATGATTATATCACTACAATATAATAATCATAAGGATGAATTCTCTGTCATTTATCATCATCCACACAGGAACTTGTCTCAGAAAAAAATACATCTATGTACATGATGTACCTTAACCTAACTTTCACAATGTTTCAGGTATAGAGATATTTTATATTTTCTTAGACAAGTGCCTGTGACTATCCACCAGAACTTGCAGTCATCCGATGTTCAGTACTTCAGTACTTTGATTAATTTTCTATAACACAAAATGCATTTGAATTTTATTTACCTAGATCATGCTATGCTTTAAAATTTTCCAGATGCACAGGTTTGTCTGTACTCAGAGTAAATTTTGAGATGAAACGCAGCCAAAGTGTCCACATGAACCTTAAATAGACACAGAATCTGAACATGCTGAAAGGAATTGCAAAGAGAGGAATTGGGTCTCCTGTTTGTAAACCGGTAGTAACTGTTAATTTTATTTACAACTATTTTAGAATCAACTTAAATCTAGAACTTAACCAATGGTATAGACACCTATCTATTGTTGAAGACTATATATATATTGTCATCAATATGTCTTTTGGTATATTTTGTGTCAATATTATTCAGACAATATGGGGTTGCTGTCACCTCACATATGTCCTTTTCTTAACTTTGAAAATATTGTCATGACAAATTTTCCTACCGATTTTTAGCACACTGTAATAAAACAACTATTGATTGTAGTGCAGTCTCTTACCATTCGTTTTAAATGCAAAATTTAAAAGTGATGAAAAATTAGAAATGTTCTGCAACATCCGGAAGCATGTGGAAACATGTAAACTTTAAACCAAATGCGGACCACCTCAGCTTGATACTGTCCAGTTCATAGATGGATTAAAGATCGTGTTATGAGTCTTGTTCTGAAGTCTTAACATATATGACATGAAATATTTACAGAATCAGTACAATATGTCTGTTTCCCATTTGAGAGAGAACCTGTAAATTTTCAAACGCTGAAGGTTTTCAGATTTTTACGAATCTGAGTATGGAGAAAGTTCCGGAACTAGTGTTTGTTATGAGTGGGAAAAGAAAATCTGGAAAAGACTATGTGGCATCATTAATGTGTAACAGGTAACATGAAGATAAGCTAACTGTATTAGCACTAACACATTAACAATAAATGGTTATGGCAACAAAATACAGACAAACAGTACAATAACATGAATATCTACAGGAGTGACAGTCAGAGGCGGATTTAGAGGGTTTTTTAGGGGGGGGCCCGGGCCCCTCCTTTTTTGGGAAAAATTTGGTTGATTATATAGGGAATCACTGAAGCATGACTGGAGCGGGCCCCCTCTTATGCAGTCAGTGGGCCCCCACTTATGAAAAATTCTGGATCCGCCACTTACAGTGGATAAGCATGATAAGTATGTTAGAAAAAAAATGAATAAAAATCAAGTATCCCCATCTCATGATGAACTAATTCAAAAAAGAGATCAGCTTTTGCAGTGAATATGTATAAAAAAACAAATAATAAACATCTTTATAATGATTATTGTAAATGTAAAAATAAAACCAAAAGGGAGGTAAACAAAGCTAAGTCTTCATATTTTGAAAATAAAATAGAAGAAAATAAAAATAATCCTAAAAATATCTTGAAACAGTTTAAAAGTATGGGTTATAGTACTAAACAGAAAGAGAAAAGTAAAGTTGTACATAATATTATATAGATAATGTAAACTGTCATGACTCAAATACAGTGGCTAACTATTTTAATAACCTTTTTACAACTACAATGCATAGCGGATAATTTAGTATCAAAATTACCACCAGTTCCAAAAGTGTTTGATATCAAAACAGACATATTTAAATTTTTTTTATAACACTGTTAAGTGTAACGATTTGAGTTTTAAATTAAAACCTGTGACTGAAGAATATATTTTTAAACAGTTACAACAACTCAATCCAAGTAAAAGTACTGGATTAGATGGAATACCATCAAGGTTTTTAAGAGATGGCTCGAGTATTTTAGCAAAGCCAATTACATATATAGTTAATTTGTCGATAACTTCAGGCATAGTACCTGATGAGATGAAAACAGCTAGAGTGTGTCCTATATATAAGAAAAATAGTAGGTTGGATGTCGGAAATTATCGACCAGTTAGTATTTTAGTAGTAGTTTCTAAAATTGTTGAAAGATCAGTATATTCACAACTTGAGAAATATCTGGTGGAAAATGATCTACTTTATAATTTACAATCTGGTTTCAGATCTGCTTATTCCACAGATACATGTCTTATTCATTTGTTAGATCATATTAAAAATGAATCTGCTAAGGGACTCTATACTGGAATGATAATGTTAGATTTGCAAAAAGCCTTTGACACGGTCAATCATCATATATTGTGTAACAAACTACAAATAATGGGTGTCAAATGTACTAAATGGTTTGAATCATATTTATGTAATAGACAACAAAAAGTTAGTATTAATCAGGTACTGAATCTGATTTAAGATATATTACATGTGCAGATGTGGGGTACCACAAGGGAGTATTTTAGGACCACTATTATTCTTATGTTATGTTAATGACATGTCTATAAGTATGAGTAAAGACTGCAAAAATTTATTTTATGCTGACGATAGTACCATACTATATTCTCATAAGAACCCAGAAGTTATATCTGAGAAACTGGGTAAGGAACTTGAATCTTGCAGCAAATGGCTTATCGATAATAAATTATCACTTCATTTGGGGAAAACAGAAACTATTCTGTTTGGGTCAAAACGTAAATTGTCTAAAATTCATAACTTTGATGTTACTTGTAATAATCACACAATTTCATCTCAAAATTGTGTGAAATATTTAGGCCTGAATATTGATAATTCTCTTTCTGGAGAAAAAATTTTAAATAATATTATTCAAAAGATAAATTCAAGATTGAAGTTCCTATACAGACAGACCAAATGTTTATCAGAACAATCTAGAAAGACTTTAGTTACAGCTCTAATTCAATGTCATTTTGACTATGCCTGTTCTGCATGGTATGCTGGTGTCAGCAAAAAATATAAAGATAAGTTACAAGTATTACAAAACAAATGTGTTAGATTTATAAAAAATACTGGATATAGATCAAAAGTTGACCATAATGTATTGAATAGTATTGGTTATGTTAATATTGAAAATCGTGTTAAACAATTGAGATTAAACCATGTTCATAATATCTATTACCATCATTGTCCTAATTATATGTATACAAATTTTACAAAGGTGAGACATCTTCATCATCATTTCACACGAAATAGTGAATATAACTTCTGGGTTCCACCAGTAAAGAGTCAACAAAAAGATACATTTTATTTTAATGACATACAAGATTGGAATATGTTGCCAAATAATGTTAAAAAAATAAAGAAAATAAAGGATTTCAAAATTAGTGTTAGAGAGTACTTTACCAAAAGTTATAGTGTGGCCTCATCAGACTTCTTTTTATATTATTAAACTCATTTTTTATTCAAATTATTCTTATATGAATTTTTTATGTCATATTAATTTGTGTGATATCTTTTTTGTATGTCGAAACTATAAGCCGTTTACATGAAGGGACCCCATTGGAAACAAGCTTTAAAGTTTTCATGGGTTATCCCTGATAAAATATCAGCAAATTTTTTCCATGCAGTTAAAGATTATCTACACTCATAAAATGCTATTATATTTTACAAAGTATGTGTTAGTAATGTCTTTATGTATCGTATATATTGAGTATTGTATTAACTCATATGCTTGATATTTTATTGAATAAAATATTATTATATTATTATTATATGGCTTTTCGTGCTATTAAGAATGCATTGTGACATCATAATTTCCATTGAAAAAGCATGCATAGTACGAATTCATATGACGTACGAAAACATATCATCTGACGATATCTTTTGACAATGAGTTTTTTACCAACAAGCATTCATTTAACTTCAAGTGATTTACAACAATTTTTATACGACCGCAAAAATTAGAAATTTTTTGGTCGTATATTGGTACCACGTCAGCGTCGTCAGCGTCGTCCGAGGACAGATGGTTTCCGGATAATAACTTTAGTATAAGTAAATAGAAATCAATAAAATTTTAACACAAGGTTTATAACCACTAAAGGAAGGTTGGGATTGATTTTGGGGGTTATGGTCCCAACTGTTTAGGAATTAGGGGTCAAAAAAGGGGCCCAAATAAGCATTTTTGTAGTTTCCAGACATTAACTTGTGTTAAAGTGTATGAATCTTTCAGAAATTATACCACAAGTTTACATACTAGAAAGGGATGGTTAGGATTCACTTTGGGGGGTTATGTCTCAAACCATTTAGGAATTAGGGGCAAAAAAAGAAGGGTTTTTCTGGTTAAAGGACAATTGAGACAATTTAAAAGCAGTGTAAGGGAGGTAATCCAAATCAAATTAAATAACAATGTTTGATTACCTCCCTTACACTGCTTTTAAATTATGTATTAAGCAAATGATGATTGTCTGAGATACTGACCATAACTTGGTGGAAAGAATTATTTTTTGGAATAAGGGAAAGGGGGGAGGTGAAAAAAATTGGAGGGGGACAATTTTTCTCATTTCAGATTTCAGAAATTAAAAGAAAATTTCTTCAAATATTTTTTTTTGGTGGGGTTAAAATTCAACAGCATGGTGTATTGCACAAACGCAAAAAACTGGGTAAAATTTTTTTTTTTGGGGGGGGGGGGGGGTCAATTCGCATAGTGTATTGCACAAAAGCAAAAAATTGAATATAAATTCAAATCATATAACCAATTTGAAGTTCTTTGACTACAATTATTCTGTGTCAGAAACCTATTATGTGTCAAAAATCTAATTACAATCCAAATTCAGACCTGTATCAAGCGTGAATAATGTGTCCATTTTGGTCCCAACTTTTCAGGGTTGGACATCTGCGGTCGTATCCAGCTGTCCTCAGCGAAGCAATTTATTAATTCTGTTGGGGAATTACTATTTAGAATTGATATAAGCAAGTTATATGATAAAGAAAGTAATTTGTTGTTCAATTGAACATTATTTAATTTTTTAATGAGGTTTCTCTCAAATATTTATATGAAAAAGATAAGGACTGCTTTGACAAGAAAAAAAATTATTTGAGCATGACCTGATTAAACTTCTTGAGCCCCCTTTCCCGTTTTTAGTGGAAACAACCACAGGACACTTTGAAGCCTTCAACAATAAGGGAAATGCATAACGTATTTATCAGTAATCTATTAAAGGTCCAGGCATGACAAAATGTGAAAAGTGAAACCTACCTGTTGACTAATGATTTTTCTATTAATGTTCCATCCTTTTTTTTTTGCTTTTATTTATATTGAAAGTCTACCTTTGCACAGTGTTATGTTTACATAACAATAGAAAAGCAAGAATGGGACAACAATCAACATGGTCACATCCAATTTTATTAATGTGTGGATACCCTATTTCAATTTTTTTTTTAAATTTGAAAAAATAGGCTACATGCATAAACATGTCTATTCATTAAATTTATATTTAAAATAATTTGATTTGATAAATTTTCAGAATAGGAAAACACTTGTGTAGCAGTGTCCAGTTGTCTGGTCCATTGAAGAAACAATATGCTGAGGTATGTTGGAATTTTACAAAAGTCTGCATTGTTATGCCCTAGCTACAATGATATTATGTTTTCTGATCTGTGGATCCACCTGTCTATCCGAAATTCCATACCAGGTCAAAGTTTTTGGTCATGTTGTTAACCATGATGCAGTAGTCCCATCAAGTTGAGAATTAGTACATACATGTATATGTTGATATTGATGTCAACTTTTAATTAAAAATACAGTTTTGAGCAGTGAATAACTGATAGTTGGAAATTAGTACATTCACAGCTAGGTCTTAAGTTTTTGGTTAAGGTGGTTTACCATGAAGCTTTGGTCACATCAACTTGAAACTTAATACACATGGGTTTACATTGTGATGTGAACTTTAAGAATTAAATAAATTACAATTTTGATCCCGATTTCACTTATCACTGAACATTGACATAGGATAGTGCTAACAGGCATGGTGTCCTAAAGACACATTCTTTGTTTGGTTATAAAAGTTAAAAGATATAGTTTTGATTCCTTTCAAGAATTATTAGCATGATTAGTTTATGGTTGAAGCCCCCAACTACCATTATTTGCAAAACAAAATTTTGAACAAACTTTTGAAAAATGAAAATAAGTAATTAAGAGTTTATTACTTCCAAATTTTTGGGGAAATGAGCAAGTAATAAGAAATTATACAATTGAGATCCCCTTCTGTAAGTTTATCCAACCATCTAACAAGCTATGTGTGGAATGAGTAATCTAAGGCAGTCAGGGGTCAAAATTAAGATAGATAGAATTTTTTAATAATTTGTCAAAATGTAGTTTACATCATGCTTTTTTCAAAAATATAATACAAAGCACTGTACATTCAGAAATTACTGCGATGTTTTTATTAATGCATATAATGATACTGGCTAAGATTCACATATAAGAACTTGCATTCTGATATCAGATACTTATATCTGTATGCAGAATTTCGCAATAATTAATCTTATATGTTTGTCCATTCTTCAAAAATTGCAATAATAAATGCAAGCAATAATTTCTGAATTTACATTATTGGTCAAAGAGCTTTTTTTCAAGCTACATGTAAACTAAAACTGTCAGATTTTGTATACATTATACATTGTTATACATGGAGGAAAAGAAAACTAATCAATAAATTTTAAAATGAGAAGATAATTTTCACAATGTGCTTTCAAAATATAGAAATGAAATTTGGGGTCATTGGACTGATTTTCTTGCTAAAACCAAATTGGTTAAATATTTTGATTCCATACACATTCCTTGAGAAAATTAAGGTTATCTAAGTTATCTCCCCTTTTATGGCAAAGTTGGAAAAAATCAAAAGAACCATTCAAAAAATGTTATAGTATCAACCCTATAAGTTATCCAACATGCTGTTTCAATTACTATAAGTAGGAAAACTTACAGAAACACAATGAAAAATATCTTCAAAATACTCTTAAAGGCCAACAGCTTCCAAACTTAAGGAGGTTAGGCAGTCTTTTTTGTGCAGAGATGTCCATTCTTGCATTAATGATAGGATGGATACAATGAGAGTAATGCATGCTTTTACAAGCAAACTTAGCATTTATTCCATAGAAACTAAATCAGTATATCTCATTTTTTGTCTCGCTTTGACGGAGTCAAAAAGCGAGACATAGGTATGCTGTTGTCGGCGGAGGCGGCGTCAACAATGTATTAGTTTGTGATAAGGTCTAGTTCATGGTGAACCACTAGTGGTAGGTCAATGATATTTGGTATGCAGTTGTATTAGAATTGGCACATCTCATTACCATGGAGATTATTTGGCCCCGCCCCCTCAGTCAAGGTCTATTGACTTTGAAACTTTTCATAGTTAACATGTATTAGTTTGTGATTAGGTCAATTTATGGGGAACCACTAGTGGTAGGTCAATGATATTTGGTATGCAGTTGTATAAGCATGGGCATATCTCATTTCCATGGAGATTATTTGGCTCCACCCCCTTAGTCATGGTCTATAGACTGAAAATTTTGCTAAGTTTACATGTATTAGTTTGTGATTAGGTCAGTTCAAGGGGAACCATTAGTTGTATAAGCATTAGCACATCTCATTTCCATGGAGAATATTTGGCCCCACCCCCTCAGTCATGGTCTATTTACTTTGAAACTTTTGCTTAGTTTACATGTATTAGTTTGTGATTAGATCAGTTTAAGATGAACTGCTAAAGTTAAGTCATTGATATTTGGTATGCAAATTTATTGGCATTTGCAAATATCGTTTCCATGGAGATTATATAGCCCCTCCCCTGATCATGGTTCATTGACTTTGAAACTTTTACATAGTTTACAAGGTAATGTTTGTGTTTAGGTTTGTTTAAAGGGAACAACTTATAATAAGTCAATGGTATTTGGTATACAGTTGTATTAGCATTGGCACATCTCATTCCATGGAGATTGTTTAGCCATGTACCTTCAGTCATGGTTCATTGACTTTGAATATTTGCATAACTTACATGTTAAAGTATTGCAATTTTAATTTCAACATTTGCATTATCAGATTATAAAAAGGCGAGACATATCTCTGTGATAACAGTTTATTTAAACTACATGTACATAATCTTTCAACCACTAGTTTAACTAAGAATGTCCATCCTAAGTTTATCCTTTACTCCTATTGATTTTCTATAGTAAACCAAAGAGTACATTTTTTTCTTATTGTCAGATATTGTAATAGATCACATACAGCATGTACAGCCTTGGGAAAATTGTGAAAAAATAAAAGAGTATTATTTGTCAGAGGTAGACTTTGTTTTTACGGGGGTCTGTTTCATCAGGATTATATTTTTCTTGCAGGATCATAATTTGAATTTTGAAAAACTTATGGATTCTTCAGAGTACAAAGAGAAGTTCAGAATTGATATGATTAAATGGGGTGAAGATAAGCGTACAGAAGACCCAGGATTCTTTTGTCGCCTAGCAACATCTAAAAACAATTTGAAGAAAATTTGGATTATTACTGATGCCAGGAGAAAAACAGATGTAGAATATTTTAAAGAAAACTACAATGGCAGGACATTCAAAGTGAGAGTATGTGCAAAAGAAAGTATCAGAGAATCGAGAGGGTTTACATTTACACCAGGTATTAGTAGTTAACATGAATCATTTTACTTCACTCATAGATTCTTAAATTATGTATTAATGCAAGAGTAATTATTGTTTATTTAATTTTTACCTAAATGTAAAATCTTTCCTTTTCACAAACATGTTTGTATTGAATAATGAAAACAGGGAAATCATTGAATTTCACAAAAATATTCCAGTGCTAAATAACCTTTTGTCAAATTCAGTTTTGCTCAAATCTGAATAAGTATAGGTATTTTGTCAGTCCTTTTTAGCTCACCTGACCCAAATAATTTCTATTTTAAAATTTTTATGTCAGACGAAACCACTTCTTAAAGCAGTTTTCTTTGTTAGAAAAAAAACATCGTTTAAAAGATTAATGCAGAGTAAAAATTAAACAACCAAGTACAAATGCATTCAAGACATTATTGGTAGATGCATGTCTTGGATAAATCTTAAAAGACAACTTAGGTTGACTAAAAAAAGACATGTTATATGTGTATAAAATATATACCCCCCCCCAAAAATTGAAAGAATTGCATTATTTTCATGTAGATTCTAATAAGGTTTACTTTGCTGAAATTATATAAACAACAACGAACATTTTATTGAAATTAATCTATGAAATTTTGAAATAAATGCCAAACTACACTGAAGTGATTATTTAGAGGTACAGGTATCATTTTGAATACCGTTTAAACAAAGGGAAAATATTTAAGATGGAAAATATTCTGTTACAGCCTTTACCAAATTGTTTTGTATTATTTATATTTCAGGTGTAGATGATGCTGAATCTGAATGTGGATTAGATGAAGGAGTTAAATGGGACTATTTAATCTGTAACAATGGTGATCAGGATCAATTAGATAAAGACATTGGCTGCTTATTGACACTTGTACAAGAAAAACTATGTGATGTGACTTGAGAAGTTTTATTAAAATGTAGAAATTAAAATTGTCTCAGATTTTGTAGAGATGAGTACAAACCATTTTGCATGCAATTTTGATCCAGTATCAAGGTTTGTAATGGCATTACATTACAGAAAACTACAATCACTTTGAAAATACCAATGTATGTCTCCTTCAGTACTCATATAATAAGGATATGTGTCCATTGGACACAATACCCTTCCAACAAACAAAAAATTTAAGTTGATGTGACAACAACTTCCATGGTAAACTATCTTAAACTAAAACTATTTAAATTGATACAGGACAAATTTTAGGATGCAAACTGTAAAACACTTGCCCCATCTAATGTAGGATGTGCATAGAATTCAATATTGTAAGAAAATTGAGTTTGCAATAAATATATGAAAATATTTGTTACCTTCCTGGCTTCTAGGAAGGGAAAAGTAAATAATTCCTATTGCAGGTAGTTAAATTATAAATAATAAAGTGACTGAAGGGTTCTGAAATCTTTGTCTCACCTGCAACCATGCTGTCAGTGAAAAAGGATAATGTTGACTGCCAAAAATAAAATAAAATATAGAAAAATGAAAAAGAAAAATATAAATTTTGCTCAGGGATGCTCTCTCTTGATCATGAAGAAGCTCCTATATAAGATTAGTAAAATTTCATGAAGGTTGAACAATGTACTTCAAATAGTAAAATGTTTAACCACAGTTTGTCTCACTTGCTTCACTGATTATGGTTGAATTTATGTTGAAAGTCTTTAAGATAGAGGTTTTACTACAAGTATCACAAACTTAACATTATCATTGATCCAGGTAAATGAGTTCAAACTGCCCGACTGACATGTACATCATACAATTATTCCATACACCAAACATAGTAAACCTATTACAGTGTCTGAGAAAAAGACATCCATAAAAACATAGCTTTGACCAATGAGCCATGAAATGAGGTCAAGGTCGGGTGAACTTTGCCAGGCAGACATGTCAACCATGTGATCATACTTGACAACAAATTTGGTTAAACTAATGCTTGTAATATCAGAGAAACACCTAATTTTGAAATTTTGTGGTGACCAATGAACCATGGAAAAGAAGTCAAGGTCAGATTAATCCTGCACAACATACATGTGCTCCATACACCAGATATTCTTGATCATTTAGTTGTAGTATCTGAGAAACGGACCTCACTATAAAATCATACACTTGGCCATGACCTATGCTAATGTGGTTGATTGATTGATGTATAACACCACTTTCAGCACTATTTGCTATTTCGTGACAGTCAGTTTTTTTTGGTGGAGGAAGCCAGAGAGAACCGCCAACCTTCGGCAGGAAAAATGAAAATCCTAGTCAATTAAGATTGGAGTCCATCCCTCCTGCCATGTGTGGGGTTCCAACTCGCGATCACAGTGTTGACAGGCTAGCAATACAGTAAACTACTTAAACCACTGGACAACCGTGGCCTCTGAATGATGCTGAGGTGAGATGAACCCTGCCACAAAGACATGTACACCTGACAATCATTTCATACACAAATAAATGGGGAATGTGTCCATGGGACACAGATGATGCCCCCGCTTGCATATAACGTTATAAAGAGACATAACTTAAGTACGGTAAAAGTGACACTACACAAATTTGTACTTGATCTGATTTTTGTTGTAATAGGCATTGTGTATAAGTTTCATAACATTTGCTTAAGGCAACTTAAGTTAGAAAACAAAAACGAAAAATTCAGCAATTTTTCCATTTGTAAAGGTGCATAACTCAATAACAGTGAAAGTGAGGCCACCAAAATTCAAACTTGATCTGTGTTTTGTGGTTATAAACATTGCACAGTTTCATAAGTTTCATAACAATTGTTTGAGGCAAACTAAAGTTAGAGAACAGAAACAAAAAAATTCTGCCATTTTTATACGACCGCAAAAAAATTTTTGTGGTCGTATATTGGTACATGTATGACGTTGGCGTTGTCGTCGTCGGCGTCGTCCGAAGACACATTGGTTTTCGCACTCTAACTTTAGTTTAAGTGAATGGATCTCTATGAAATTTTACCATAAGGTTCAATACCACAAAAGGAAGGTTGGGATTGATTTTGGGGGTTATGGTACCAACAGTTAAGGAATAAGGGGCCAAAAATAAGCATTTTTGTAACTTCCAGACATAACTTGTGTGTTAGTGTATGGATCTCTTTGACATTGTACCACAAGGTTCCATATCACAAAGGGAATGCTGGGATTGATTTTGGGGGTAATTGCCTCAAAATTTTAGGAATTAGGGGCCAAAAAGGGTAAAAAAACAAGCATTTTTCTAGTTTCATGATAATTACTTGTGTGTAAGTGTATGGATCTTTCTGAAATTGTACTACAAGGTTCCATATCACAAAGGGAAAGCTGGAATTGAGTTTGGGGGTAATTGCCCATAACGTTTAGGAATAAGGGGCCAAAAGGGGCCAAAAATAAGCATTTTTCTAGTTTCCAGACAATAACTTGTGTTCAAGTGTATGGATCTCTCTGAAATTGTACTGTTAGGTACATACCACAAAGGGAAGGCTGGGATTGATTTTGGGGGTAATTGCCTCAAAATTTTAGGAATTAGGGGCCAAAAAGGGGCAAAAAACAAGCATTTTTCTAGTTTCAGGACAATAACTTGTGTGTAAGTGTATAGATCTTTGAAATTGTACTACAAGGTTCCATATCACAAAGGGAAAGCTGGGTTTGAGTTTGGGGGTAATTGCCCTAAACGTTTAGGAATTTGGGGCCAAAAAGGGGCCTAAAAACAAGCATTTTTCTAGTTTCCAGACAATAACTTGTGTTCAAGTGTATGGATCTCTCTGAAATTGTACTGTAAGGTACCATACCACAAAGGGAAGGCTGGGATTGATTTTGGGGGTAATTGCCTCAAAATTTTAGGAATTAGGGGCCAAAAAGGGCAAAAAACAAGCATTTTTCTATTTTCAGGACAATAACTTGTGTGTAAGTGTATGGATCTTTATGAAATTGTACTGCAAGGTTCCATATCACAAAGGGAAAACTGGGTTTGAGTTTGGGGGTAATTGCCCTAAGCGTTAAGGAATTTGGGGCCAAAAAGGGGCCTAAAAACAAGCATTTTTCTAGTTTCAGGACAATAACTTGTGTTCAAGTGTATGGATCTCTCTGAAATTGTACTGCAAGGTACCATACCACAAAGGGAAGGCTGGGATTGAGTTTGGGGTGATGAATCATAAGGGGGTTAAAAAAAATGTGGGGGAGGAATTTTTTTTTCTTTAAATTTTTCCATTTTATATTGGTTATTTCTGATTTATATATAAAAGCAAATAATAATGATATGGTTTGAATAGGTAAATTAAAAATTTTTAAGTTCTTAAACCACATTCATTCTGTGTCAGAAACCTATGCTGTGTCAAATATTTAATCACAATCCAAATTCAGTGCTGTATCAAGCTTGAATGTTGTGTCCATACTTGCCCCAACTGTTCAGGGTTCGACCTCTGCAGTCGTATCAAGCTGTGCCCAGCTGAGCATTTTATTCAATTTGTAAACGGACATATCTCTAGAATGGTAAAAGTGACGCTACTCAAATTCAAACTTGATCTGTGTTTTGTGGTAATAAGCATTGTGTATAAGTTTCATTCCATTTAGTTGAGGCAAACTAAAGTTAGAGAACGGAAACAAAAATTTCAGCAATTTTTCCATTTGTAAAGGGGCATAACTCTAGAACAGTAAAAGTGATGCCACCAAAATTCAAACTTGATCTGTGTTATGTGGTAATAAGCATTGTGTATAAGTGTCATAACATTTGGTTGAGGCAAACTGAAGTTAGAGAACGGAGACCAATTTTGGGACGTACAGATGTACGGACATACAAATGGACAAGGGTAAAACTTAATGCCCCCACCGCCACGGCGGGGGCAGAAAAATAGCTTTTAACTTAAAAAGTATATAAAACCATGTAAATGTAACACTGACCAATGAAGTTAAATGAACCATGAAATTAAGGACAGGTCAGATGAACCCTGCCAGATAGATATGTACACCCTAAAATCATTCCATACACTAAATATAGTTGACCTATTGTTTATAGTATTTGTGAAACAGACCAAACCACAGAATCATAACATTAACTTATGAACCATGAAAATGAGGTCATGGTGAGATGAAACCTGACAGACAGACATGTACACCTTACAATAATTCCACACACCAAATAGAATTGGCCTACTGCTTATAGTATTTGAGAAATGAACCTCATGATGAAAACTTAATCTTGATCACTGTCTTCACTGATCCATGAAATGAGAGGTTGATGTGAGGCGAACCCTGACTGACAGATATGTAGACCTTGCAAAGATCCCATATACCAAATAATGTTCTACCGTATTCAAAAGTGAGAAATTCACTTGACAAAAAATCGTAATGTTGCTGCAAGATTAGCATCCCTGACTAACATTTTGCAACTTTTGTCATAGGCAAGACAAAAATCAAAGCACCATTGATTCTGTGAGTCAGCTGATCTATCTTGATCACAAAAAGCATTATATCTATACATTAATCTTATAGCAACAAGAGTGCACAGGCTGAAATGTCTCGCCTGTTTTACTGATCATTAACTTTATGTTCATAGTCCTAAATATAAAGCTTGACTACAAGTATCACATAAACTTAACATGATCCAAGAAAATGAGGTCAAGGTCAGATAAACTAAACCGGAAGTACACCTTACAATCATTCCATACACCAAATAAAGTTGACCTATTGCTTATAGTTTCTAAGAAACAAACTTAATCGGGAAAACTTGACATTGACTAATGAACCATGAAAATGAGGTCAAGGTCAGATGAACCATGCCAGACAGACATGTACACCTTACAATCAATCTATGCATTAAATATAGTTGACATATTGTTTACAGTATCCAAGAAACAAACTAAACCATGAAAACTTAACATTGACCAATGAACCATGAAAATGAGGTCAAGGTTAGATTAAACCTGCCAGACAGACATATACACCTTACAATCATTCCAAACACCGAATATAGTTGACCTAATGCTTATAGTATCTAAGAAACAAACTTAACATTGACCAATGAACCATGAAAATGAGGTGAAGGTCAGATGATACCTGCCAGGCAGACATATACACCTAAACAATCATTCCATACACCAAATAAAGTTGACCTATTGCTTATAGTTTAAGAAAAACAGACCAAAACACAAAAACTTAACACTGAGCAATACACCGTGAAAATGAGGTCAAGGTCAAATAAAATCTGCCAGACTGACATGTACATCGTAAAATATTTTCATACACCAAATATAGTTGACCTATTGCATATAGTATTCGAAAAAAAGACCAAAACACAAAAACTTAACTTTAAGCACTGAACCATGAAAATGAGGTCAAGGACAGAAGACACCTGCCAGTTGGACATGTACACCTTACAATCATTCCATACACCAAATATAGTAGACCTATTGCTTATAGTATCTAATATATGGACTAGACCACAAAAACTTAACCTTGTTCACTGATCCATGAAATGAGGTCGAGGTCAGATGAAAACTGTCTTGACAGGCATGAGGACCTTGCAAGGTAAGCATATACTAAATATAGTTATCTTATTACTCATAATAAGAGAGAAGTTAACATTACAAAAAATCTTAACTTTTTCAAGTAGTCACTGAACCATGAAAATGAGGTCAAGGACCATGGACATATGACAGACAGAAACTTCATAACATAAGGCATCTATATAATAAAATGCTCCTATGGGCACAGCTTGATACAACCGCAGAGGTCGAACCCTGAACAGTTGGGGCAAGTATGGACACAACATTCAAGCTTGATACAGCTCTGAATTTGGATTGTGATTAAATATTTGACACAGCATAGGTTTCTGACACAGAATGAATGTGGTTTAAGAACTTAAAATTTTTTAATTTACCTATTCAAACCATATCATTATTATTTGCTTTTATATATAAATCAGAAATAACCAATTTAAAATGGAAAATTTTAAAGAAAAAAAAATACCTTCCTTAAATTTTTTGAACCCCCTTATGATTCATCACCCCAAAACTCAATCCCAGCCTTCCCTTTGTGGTATGGTACCTTGCAGTACAATTTCAGAGAGATCCATACACTTGAACACAAGTTATTTTCTGGAAACTAGAAAAATGCTTGTTTTTAGGCCCCTTTTTGGCCCCAAATTCCTAAACGTTTAGGGCAATTACCCCAAAACCCAAACCAAGCTTTCCTTTTGTGATATGAAACCTTGTAGTACAATTTCATAAAGATCCATACACTTACACACAAGTTATTGTCCTGAAACTAGAAAAATGCTTGTTTTTTCCCCCTTTTTTGCCCCTAATTCCTAAAATTTTGAGGCAATTACCCCCAAAAAACAATCCCATTCTTCCCTTTGTGGTATGTAACTTGCAGTACAATTTCAGAGAGATCCATACACTTGAACACAAATTATTGTCTGGAAACTAGAAAAATGCTATTTTTTGCCCCTTTTTGGCCCCTTATTCCTAAACGTTTTGGGCAATTACCCCCAAACTCAATTCCAGCTTTTCCTTTGTGATATGGAACCTTGTAGTACAATTTCATAAAGATCCATACACTTACACACAAGTTATTGTCCTGAAACTAGAAAAATGCTTGTTTTTTGCCCCTTTTTGGCCCCTAATTCCTACACTTTTGAGGCAATTACCCCCAAAATCAATCCCAGCATTCCCTTTGTGATATGGAACCTTGTGGTACATTGTCAAAGAGATCCATACACTAACACACAAGTTATGTCTGGAAGTTACAAAAATGCTTATTTTTGGCCCCTTTTTGGCCCCTAATTCCTTAACTGTTGGTACCATAACCCCCAAAATCAATCCCAACCTTCCTTTTGTGGTATTGAACCTTATGGTAAAATTTCATGGAGATCCATTCACTTAAACTAAAGTTAGAGTGTGAAAACCAATGTGTCTTTGGACTACGACGACGATGCCGGACGACGACAAAATTTTTGCGGTCGTATAAAAAGTATGAAGCATCCAGGTCTTCCACATTCTAAAATATAAAGCTTTTAAGTACTATAAATTCAGAAATTATTGCATGCATTTATTATTGCGATTTTGTCATTTTAGACTAAAATGCGATTTTAATTTTTTGCGATATTGAGAAAAATCCTGTTTAATTCATATAAAAAATTTCAAAATGCGAGTTTAAATTATTGCGATTATAACCCTGACGCATTTTTCGTGATAATAAAAACATTGCAATAATTTCTGAATTTACAGTACTTAGTTAAGGCCACCTCCAGATCACTATCCTTATGTCAAGCTTTCTGCGACAGAAGTCCCAGGCTCGACAAAAATTTGGCAGTTGAATTTCTCATTTAAATTATTTTACATTTTGTCATGTTTTAGCCATTTTAAATAGCTGACTATAACAGTATGGGTTTTGCTCATGGTCGAAGGCTGTATGGTGTCCTATAACTGCTAACATCCACATCATTTGGTCTCGGGTGGATATTTATTTCATTGGCAATCATACCACTTCTTCTAATCTTTACATAATGTGCATTAATGTTACAGGATTAATGATGACAGAAGTAGTTTCTGAAATCAAGCTTCGGGGAACCAAGCTAATACCCAAAATCATTCGCAAAACTCAAGTAAATCTGCTCAAATAATAGGATTCATTTTGATCATATTCATATTGTAAGAATAAGAGCACTTACAAGGCATACAATTCCAACGGCAATAACTACCCCGGTAATGAAAATTTCAATCTGCATTTCCTTCGAGATATTGCATATCTATTTAATCAGAAGGTAGGAGGGATATCCCTTAAGAAGGTGAAGTTACGCATATATCCAAGGTGTAACACCCATAAAAGGTAAAGTTACACATATATATATATCCAAAGTGTATCACACATAAAATTTCTCAATTAGTTCTGGCTTGCTAATTCAATCAAGATATTTTTTACTTAAACCTGTCATAATAATTTTGCATGTTACACCTTACACAGGAATTTTTCACATTTTTTAGATTTCAGACGGGCATAAATGAAACATTTTATTTAAATCAGCACTAGTATTTGAATATGATTGAGATATTGATAATACCAATCTTCATAAGAAACCTCATCAAAATTCATCAAAAGCTGTAAGGGTGATTTTCACATAATTTATATTTGTAAGGGGGCACAGATGATGCCCCTGCTTGCGTTTAACGTTATAAAGGCACATTACTAATGAACTGTTAAAGTGACGCAACCCAAATTCAAACTTGATCTGTGTTTTGTGGTAATAAGCATTGTGTATAAGTTTCATAACATTTGGTTAACTAAAGTTAGAGAATGGAAACTAATTTTGGGACGTACGTAAGGACGGACAAGGGTAACATTTTAATGCCCCCTCCTCTGCGGGGGCATAAAAAAAAGAAAATAACAGAATTCAAAGCTACTTTCTTTAATATCAAAACATCAACAAACCATAACAAGATATTACAAAATGTATATATAAAAAAACAAAATAAGTACCGGTAGACAAACAGGATTTCACAGTTGGAAAAGTGTCAATTTGATCATGAACCCTTTGATGTAAAAATAACACAGCAACTATATACTTGTGTATCAAAACCTACACTACAAAAATTTGTTGAATTAATGATTTATTTGTAAAAAAATAAATGTATGGTTTTACATGTATTTAGGTTTTATTTTTGAACAAAAGCCATATACTTAATAATAAACTGTTGACACAGAAATATGTCTTGCCTATATACAATTTTGAAAGCATATTGCAAATGTTTCAATATAAATGGCAACACTTAAACAAGTAAACTATGCAAAAGAGTTAAAGACAGTGGAGCATGACTTAGTGAAGGTGCCAAATAATCTCCATGGAAATGAGATGTTCCAAGGTTATTACAACTGCCTACTAATAAAATATCATTGACTTAGTGTTATTGGTCATGTTGGTTTCCCTTAAGAAGACTTTAATCACAAATTTTAACACATAAACTAAGCAAAAGTTTCAAAGTCAATGGAGCAATAGTGAGTGGTCATTGCCAAATAATCTCTATCAAAATGATACTGTATGGCCAATGAAATGCTAATACAACGGCCTACCAAATATTACTGACTTACCATGAGTGGTTACCCTTAAACTGACCTTTACACAAATTATATCAAATTCGGACGACAATGCTACTGGAAACAGCAAACCTTAATCTCTCCTTCCCTACTTTCGTTGAGACGAGAGAAAACCTAAACAAGACAACGATAAAATGTTTCCACACATATTCTTCCTAAAATAACTTCACAAATCAAATAGTGCTCACCTATCATTCAATTGTCTGAGAAAAACGTATGTGAAAATATGATAATAGAAATATTCGAGATAAAAAATCTTATTCAAAATCTGAAACAGAGAAAATTGAAACCATGATAAATGTATGCTAAATTTATAAGGATTTCATAACCAATAAATTTACAACATAAATAGTATATACTATATACTAGTAGATCTATTTATGTAATAACTGATAAGAATCATATGGAACAGGAATGTACATGTTTAAATTAAAAAGAGAAATTAAATCATCATACAAACTAACTGTAAGTGTATAAGCATTGATTCAGTGGAATTTGTTTCTGTAAAGCCAACAAAATATAAATAATACCAAAGAGGGAAAAGGTTTTTGTTTTTTTATGCAGAAACTATATTTCAACCTGGGTTAGGTAAAGATATATTGCATTATTCAGTTCTTACAATTTGATCAGTTGCAGCAAGTATAATCATTGATAGTTCATCAGATCAATCAAATTACATGTAACTTTAATCGAAGAACCCTTTCAACATTTCTTTTTCTAATGTTCTAATTTTTAAGCTGACTAATTATGTATTAAATTATTTCAAACCATTACTTAGTTGATCACAATTAATCCACTTATCTGACGGAATATACAATATGTTAATATAAAAACTGTCTTAAATTAAACAAAATTTAAATATTGTTAAATCTTCAGTGATTTCCTGTTATGCAAAACATTGAGACCCTGTACATATGAAATAGCAATAACTAGAGTTGTTCAAAATATACACAAGTATGAATCATAAAATATTCAATTTCATCACTGATTGTTGACCAAAAAAAAACAACCCCAAAAGTCATTACTTTTATTTCTACTCCCCCCCCCCCTCCAAAAAAAAAAGAAGGGAAAAAAAAGGTATAAAACCAAAAATTAAAACAACATTATCATTGGCATATCCAGTGGGAAATAAATTGTAAGCAGGGGGTTTGGGAGCAGCAGCCCCCAAAAGCTAAACGATTATACAAATGTAGTAAAATTCTTATTGAAAAAAAATATGTTTTATAAAATTATTTGTAAGCAATTCTCTCACTACTTGTGCTTACAATGCTACACTGGTGCTACACCAATGATAATTTACACAATTGAGAAACACAACATAATTACATTCCTCACAGCTCATTTTCCACTATCAAAATGAAGACCAAAATTACAAAATAGCTGTTTACCCTTTCTTTACTACCTGTAAAGAAATTTTCAACAGATTTTTTTCATTTTCATCTTATAAATTCTGAAATAAGTAGTTTGAACACATTGAAATTTAATATTGATGGTGTTAATTGATTCTTTGAAAAAAAATGATACTTATCTAACTACCAAACACCTTTAGGATATGCTCGCAAAAGAAGAAACAAAAATTGTTTTAATACATGTACTGGCCTTACCAATTTTTGATTTAGTTGTTTGAGACATGGTGAATAAAATGCTGTGACACTCCCATCACATTTACTTATTATACTATTGAGCAGTTTACTTAAATTGAGCTTAAAATTACTACATCTTGATTAAAGAATATATATATATAGTATAAGATTTTTATTGGATAGATTTATATACTATTAAGTGCTAGCCAGTCTTTGTAAGAATCACACAATTTAAAAGATTTTCAAAACATGACCGACAAAAACACACCAACTTGACCATCCTATTTTGAAGTAACCCTCATCATGATTTAGAAATGGTAGATCTTTCATTTCTGCTTGTCTGGTAATTCGAGAATCCTCTAGATAACTTTTGGTTAAAATGATAGCACATTATGGAGTTAGCTCCCCTTAATTGGTAATTTCTAGAGCATTTCAACCAAATTATATCTTTAAACAACAGAACAGGAAAAGGAAACAAATGTTATATTACATTTTTAACTTAAATTAATGTTGACTTGAGCGGGTTTTTGTTTGTCATGTTTTCACAGTACTGCTTGACTCTTAGGCAGATTGGCACTTCAACATTTAATTGGAAATTAATTATCTTTTTATGTTAAATTGTGAAAAGTCTATATTTTAAATAAATACACCATTTTAAAAGCAAACAAGTGTAAAAAATAATCATCATTTTAGAAAAAAGAATAAATTATATACACTTTACACAATATAATTTAATACTAATTAGTATCACGTTTTTTCAAGTTGTCAGGTTTTTACGAATTTATATTGAACTAGATGTTATATCCCGGACAACTTTATTTTCATTATTAATATTCAATTTGGCTTTTAATGAATTTAATTAATACTTCGTACTGACATTTGTATACAAATTGACTAGACAATATATAAAACAATAACAATACACCTAAAGTTGGATAAAAATCACCTCAATTTACAACAAATACTACTTTATAGATTCAAAACCTGTAAATTTATACAAAAATGCTTCTTCAAATTCAAGATATTATTTCAGTCAACTTAAATAAAATCGTACAAAAATCAATTTGATATATGAATAATAAATGTGGAACTGTTCAACATAAACAATGTACAATTAGGAGCAGGGACATTAGAACATTTTTAGTACTAAAATAAAAAATCACATAATAAATCTAATTGATTCAGGGGGAAAACAACAGAAAGTAAAATCAAAATGAGATACAATGTCATAAACTACTTACATTGTTTATCATCTGGACAAACAATTTAAGACCATGGTAACTAATTGAAACAGTAAAATGTCTGAAGAATCCCTAGTGAATTTCATATTTAGCCTTTATTTGTCAAATATAATCCTTAATGCCCAATGAAATAGTTGTTCTTGTATGTTATGCAAGAAACAAACAATCAAACAATACTTTATGCTCTTGCAATTTATTTTTTATTTCTCAAAATAAATGTTAATGATGATACCCTATATTTCTTTTTAACTGGTCTTGATCAGCTGGATTGGAAATGGACTAAACGCTGCATTAAATACCTTATTTTTAGTAATTACCGGGAACTAGGAATACTGTATGCCACATAAAATATATAAGAAAGCTTCAAACGGTTATTTCACACACACAAAAGTGGAAGGTATCAAATATATTTACTGCTCTTTTTTTACTTTTTACCATTGTTAGCATTCATAGATAATATTGGGACACCTTCCACAATTAACTTTATCTAAAAGGAATATTATGAATCAATCAGGGCCGGTTACCTTCTGTTATAATATCATATGTATAATCACTACTGTTATAGTAAACTGAAGTTACAAGATAAATAGAATCAGACAAAATAATTACTCAAAATATTGAATCAAAATCAAAGACTTTAGGAAATCTCATTCAGTTAATGAAGGAGAGAACCAAAAAGCTCAGTCCTTTTCCCAAACTTCTAAAAAAAATAATTTTACATTACTATTATATCAGATTTTCAAAATCTGTTTTTTACCTAGTGGTCCATGAAGAAAATCTACTGGTCCTCACTATAATTTCTATTGCAAAATACCAAAATTGTGTCAGTCCTTTGCAAAATTTTGGTGGTCAAAACCTTCAGACCTCCACTTTTCAAAAACTCTGCTATATTTAGCTAATGCATCCTATTTTTTGTATTATAATTAAAAAAAAAACAGTTACTGCAGCCTTACAAAACCACAAATCACATAAGTCACAAAATTATTAATATAATAATAATGCACTCATTCAATGAAACTTTCCTTCAACACAGCACTCCTATGATCAAACAATTAATCTTCTACAAGAGTTGAGCTTCTTATTTTAATATCTGCATATCATTAACCTTTGATCAATATACATTTTTTGCTTTAAAGTAAGGAATTCCATCTAAACCAACATTGAAATTTCTAATCCATTTGTTTCCGTTATAATTTTTGCCTGTTGGTTGATGTGACCAGATCCCATCTATTGCTGGAAGATAAATATCTCTTGTTATCTGTCCGGCACAAAACACTGGAGCTATCAGAATAGTTTCATTGAATAAAAACTGATCTTCTATTGCAAAGACCTTCTCATCGCTTGAATAATGCCACCATAAAGGCAGTAAGATAGGCTGACTGGGAGACACATCAGGCTGTAGAGATCGTATTATCTGGGATACAAATCCATCACGAAACTTTTTAACTTTAGTAACAAACACCCTTGTTCCGTTCCTCATAAAAAGTGTATCTGATGGTAAAGTCAGTCCTGTGAAAAATGCTGAATATTGTAACCATCGAATAAAAAGTTCAGAGGTCAAGTTATTTTTAGACACAGTTGACAACAGATAAGGATATCCATCAATACCTAGCGTAAAAACCGTAGGAAGAGGATTGGAGAGACATGATTGGTTCAAAGTATTATGACTTATACTACTCCCTACTTCAATAAGTACTGATTTATCTTGAGCTCGATAAACATTTTCAAGGATATGTATCTTTCCTAGACTCTCAATAACATTAATCCAACCTCTAAAAATTCCACTTACAGAGAATTTTCCTCCATTCCCTGCAGCTGTATGAACAGAAACGGGAATCTTTTTCAGTTTAAAGCTTGAAATGTTAATAATGTTTGCCAGACTTTTCAATTTCTCTTTCATGATATCTCTAGTGTTTTCCACTGACATGTCTAATAATGCTCCTTGTATGTCTCCATAATTATACAGTCTGACCGTGTTCTGATACAAATCTTTGACAAATAATTCATTTTTAACACCATAATCAAACAGCTTTGACATATACGACACAACAGGAGATATGGGTAAAATAAATTGACAGTCATGGTTCTTCAGAATATTCAAGGTATTCTTAATATTGGAATCAAATTCAAAGTCCCCTTCAAATATTTCCCACTTAAAATCAATTTCAATTTCTCCGCATTGGTAACCTCTTTTTTTCAATTTCTCAATAAAATCTGTTACTTTTGTTACATTCAAGAGTTCATCAGCATTTCCAACACTCCATGAAAATCTTTCATATGGTGTTATATTGACTTTATTTGAACCTGTGGATTGTCTATGTGACATAAGTGATGCCCCAGTATGTGTATTCTGAATTGAGTCGCCTTGACATATAGAGTATTCAAGTGAAGTGTACATACGTGGGCCAACTGGTACAGGTGATATGCATAACTTAGTGTCATCTGTTTCATTTAGCCTTAACCGAAAAGGATCTTCACTTACAATGTAAAATGATGTTCCATATGATGAAAGTAAATAAAATTCATATACATTCCCATGTTGTTTATCATAGCCAGGTAGATAATAATCTTCAGTCAAGGGATTGTTATTAGCAATCCATTTTTCATTGCCACCCATTCCAAACCAATATCCCATTTTCAATTCATAACAATCTGTAGGGAAAATAGATGTTATATTTTGCCATGAAATATCCATACACCCCATTAATTCTCTTTTAACATAGTCAACTGTCAAAACTGTTTTCTCTTTCCATGTGAAACACCATTTTGCATCACTTTTGCATTTATCTATTCCCCTTTCATCAGAACCAGGTACAACAAAAAGATCCCCACCAATACTTCCTGCAAGAGATGTTTGGTCTTCATGTCCAGTATCAATTTTCAAATACAGATCATTAGCATGAAAGAAGATGAACTTGGCTTGTTTATTTTCCTTTCCACCATCGTGTAACGACCATATAACAATCACGCCAACTGCCATGACAAGAAACATGATCGTTACAGCAACCTTCAATATTCTCCTCTTGATGGAGGTCTTCTCACTGTCAGCTGGATCCTATAAATAGAAATTTGATTATTCAATTACTTTCTATCTTTTCTCCAATAAAATAAGAAACTTATGTACTGTAACACATGTGCACATGTAGTAATATCAATAAAATATCTATATAGATAAGTTTTGAATGACGTAACTTGAGTTTTAGTTACTTCCCTTTGCTGCCATTTTGGAGGGATAAACAGTTTTTTTTCTTATTTGACAAACCAAATTGAAACATCTGATACACAAATTTGAGATCCTTACTAGATTGTAGTGATAAGCGAGGCTAGAAGAAATAAAATTGTTCAGAAAAAAACCTTTTTTTCTAAATTCTAGTGGTCAGTATAACAAGTTCAAGTTAGTTGATTTAGGAAGGAATTTGCGCACTAATAGCCCTCCAACATGGCAACAAAAGGGAAGTAACTCTTGCTCAAATTGTGTCAATCGAAACCTATCTATATATATGGTACTGAGAACCTTATGACCTTTAATATTGTTATCACAAACAGTACTTACCACTACATTTATTTACATCAGTAAACAGTCTTAACTAGCTACTCAGACCTCAAATTAATCCTATCCCAACCCAAACTGCCCCCAAAGTTACAATGAAAAACAAATAAAATAACTGACTTTACCTCAGGAGAGTTGTTCGTCTCTTGTTCAAATGATATAATATCCTGATCACATTGATGAAGCATTTTTTTAACAATGTAAGAATTCCCTGTCCTCTCATTAGCAATATTCTTTTTATATTTCTTCATAATTCTTAGCTTCCCTGGCAAAGAAGTGACGTACAAAAGAATTTTATTCACAAAGATTATGTAAGGCGTGATCATGTCAATGATGTCATTAATTACGTCTTTATTGCACTTCATAATAGTGTTAAACCCTTTTTACAGCTTAATCCCCTTACATGTTATATAACTGATCCTTGAATACTAGTAAAGAAAACGAAATTTTTCTTCGTTTTTTTTTCTATGTCCATAATAATTCCTTAAACACTAGTTAAATAGATAAATTTATCATATAGCCATAAAAGTAGTATTATACGATCATAATATTTTTAATATTTATATATATTATAGTCCTACTCAATATAGAGACTATTTTACAACCAAAACCATATATGTGTTATCCAATTTTCCATCAAGTGAGTAAAAATTATCAGGTGTTGAAATCAAAATTGCTCAGGAAGAACTTTGGTAAATATGAGACAAAGTAATCTGAAGCAAGCTGTTTCAATGATTTCAATAGTATAGTTCTTGATAAAATTCTTTTTTATCTCACCACTTGCAAAAAAATGGTTAACTCATGCAGGGTTTTGGTTGTGAAATAGTTCTATTGTCATCATCACTATATTGATCAGCTTTAATGATTTGTATAGGAATGATCGTAAGCACTGTAACCATGAAATTTCACCTGACTAGTAACTATTGAAATTAAATAGTTATTACTGTACTTAACTTACATAATAAGAAATAAATCATGCTCATTCATACATGTAATTAACACTGTCTCTTGAGATAACTATTTTTATATTATGCAAGCTAATAAGATGCATATCCAACTATCTATGCAAAATTTATTTTTCTAACGTTAATTCCTATAAACCTAAACTATAGCACATTATATATATTTTATACACTTGAACAATTCAGTAAGATTTTTTTCTACTAAAAAATACAGTGAAACTTTTCATAACAAGTATCATAAACAAGAACCATTTATAAAATAAAAAAAATATTCTTGTTGAAGACTTCTTCTTCTTGAATCAGTAAAAAAAGAAGAAAATAACTTTGGTCTTGATCAAGAAAATTCTGATGTCAAACATAAGCTCTGGAGTACTGTATCACTGGATGATATTACACTACATATGTAGGTACTGCAGGAATGGGTACCATGAGTATCATACATATCTTTCAATTGTAACTGTTTTGTAAATGTACAGAATAAAAATTAACATTTGCCATTCAAATTAAAACTTGACTAAAATACAACATTTACATTTAAAAATCAAACTGAATATTCAATATTTAATAAAAGATCATCCTTATTATATTGCAACTCTAGGCCACTTGCTTTGATGGTAAGGTTTATGTCATCTCAAGCTGGATAGAAGTCTTGAAAACCAATTAGAGATACAATCTTAAAATTGGAAGAGTGGTGATAAGTACAACCATCTATGTAATCATCTACATTTGTATTATTGTTTCTGTTTCAATGGTATTTTTAATTGCAGTGTAAATGCCCAGAAAATATTTGTTAAAAAATTTCACTGCATATTGATTAAGACATCTATTTGCAACAATATATCTACAATGTATAGTCATTTCATGTCAATCGTTTGCTTCAATAAAGCCACTCATATTATGGTGAAAAAAATCAACCTCAATCATTAGCAGTCTGTCTACACAGACCAATCTATACTCACTGAATTCACCATGTATTTAGTATTGTTCACTTCAAAATGAATATGCCTGTTAAATTTTGTGACCTACAATATGACTTCACATTTATTGTTATGGTTAAAAGATGACTCAGTATTACAGCTGACTTGTATAGCAACTTCAGTAAATACTACTAAACCTATACTGCACTGTTCTCCACACAAATTGCAAAGAACATCCTAGTAAACAGGGAATATTGAAATACCATCTTTTTTGGTGAAATTAAAGCACCACATTCATAACACAATCTATATGAAAGTAATTTCAGAAAGCATCACATTCAAGCAATATAGCATCATATTACCATGATGCTTAAAGACCCAGGGGAAAACACAGCATTATACATGATCATAATGGGTCTGAATGTTGCTGGAAGACAGATACGACTAAATCTGCATAACAAGATGCTTTCAAAGAAGACCACTGCATAAGGTTATCAGTAAAATGATAACTATGCTAAACATTTAGCAAAACTATTCTTATATGTTTCTAATTAGTAGGGAAGTAATTTAAAGATTTTTAATGTACAATTTTTTAGCTACCGGTACTTCAAACAAGAATTTTTATGAAATAATAATAGTCATTTGTCACAGGGAAGAAAAGGTAGTAGGCACTCATACCACATCTTCATATATCTAAAACAAATGGATTGAAAGAAGATGTATTACAGTAATAACATACTAGTTTTCAAAAAATTCTGCTGTTGTATTAAGGTTATCTTGAAAATTCTGCACTGATTTTGAAATTCAATCAATCAAAATCAAACGTAGGAAATTCACTATATTCCATTATTGGGTTTCTGGTGGGGTAAAAATGCCTGTTTTTGCTTTAAATGGTCAAACCTATTTTTCTTTGAACAGCAAATATAATTGGAGGTACTAGATGACAAGTCCAATATTAATCTTTGCCATCAATCCAGTTTTACTGAAGTTGCTATAAAAGATAGTGGAATTTACTGGCTTGAATTTGTAGACCCATTTCTGAAATTGAAATTAACCTGTTACCTTTTCATTGCAATAACCAAGTATATTCCTTTTTGATACTTTCATAACAAATCAAACCAATAAATGCCTCCTAAAATTACAATTATATGCTAATAAATTTTTAGTATAGGAAATCTCATGTTACAAACAAAGTAGAACTCACTTGTGTATAGGTATACAAATGGCAACACTGAAATTTTAATAGGTAAAATATACAAGAGGATGTAAAAGGAACCTTGCATTGCTCACCTGTCATCTATGTATAATAGTTAACCAGATTTCAATAAACACCAGGGCCAGGTGGGCAAGATAAGCCCATGCTATGCATATTAGAATTGTTGCACAAATAAAATGAAATATTGAAAAAGGCATTAAAGCAGGGGCAGTAAATTGCAAAAAATCTCAAGAGCAGGCAATCCTAAGGCATATAAAATTTTCATTAAAAAAGGGACTTTAGCTTTAGCAATTGAAAAGGGCACTTGAAGAAAATGAATGCTTCAAAAAGGCATATGAAATAGCATTTCCCAGTAACCAAATCCACAAGGAATGGAAGAAACTTTTTATTGTAACACCATTGTCCAAATAATGCCAATGAAAAACAAAAGACCTTTAATCTAACGACACCAAAACTAAAAGGGGTTTTCTTTACCCCATGGGGCATTTCCAAATCAAGTTTAGTACAAGTTGGATAGTCATGTATATATGATTCAATAGATAACATCCAGAAACCTACAATTTCAGATTATGAATAAATGTACATTTGTACATGTAGCTACTGTGACCATGACCAAATTGACACCAAAATATAATATAGGGTCTTCCTCACACAATGGGTCAGAGTCTAACCAAGTTTGCTATAAGTCTAAAATATGGTTCAAATGATAGCATTCATTAACCAAAATTTTGCCCCAATTTTAGTTTATCATTAACTGATGTGACCTTGATCTTTGACCTTAAAATTAATTGGTTCTTCATCATCCCATGAGACATTATCAAACCGAGTTTGGTAAAGATATATATATTGTTTAGGTCTTAAAAAAAGATTTTGTCCACAACTGAAATGATGATGTCCATGGCCCAAATATTCAAAAGGCACTCACCTTATTCAACTGATTAAAGACCAGTTCAACTTGGTTGTAGCACTTATACTTCAAAAGATACAATCAATTATAATTTTTATTTTTAAAGATCTATAATTCATAGGGGCAAAAAGTGTCTTTAAATAGCAATTTCATGAAAGTTAATTTTCAGAATTTTGTTTAAAAAAATGATATGGTCATTACTCTTTTAGGTTACTTACCTCAGTAACTCTTAGCGTTGGAACATCTGACGGTCGAGACAAGGAGCTATGGCTCGCTGAACTGACTGTCAGGTTTTCCTTCTTCTGTACTCCCAAGTTTTTAGGGCTTTGTTTAGGAGATTTGGGAGCAGGACTTTGTCCATTTTGTGTACTGCTCTGAGATGTAAGGAGTTTATCACTTTCTTTTTCTCTGTAAAGAAAGGAAACAGTATCACATATATATTCAATAATAGATTATTTTGTGTGTACATTTTTAATATGTATGTAACTATGAAGCATGTTCATGTAAGTTACATGTACATGTATGGTTATAAACTGCAATTTAAAGCAGAATAGAAATACATATAAAATAATTCTTATATGATTTGCACAAGGCCTAAAAAAATATTTGTGTTTCTGCTAACCCTACATTCCAGGGAAACAGTTGGACATTAAAAGTGCTTGTTAAACATGACAAAAAAATCTTTAGGTTTGGCACTAAAAATTAGTGTTTAAACAAACAAATAATCTTTTTTAATTACTTAGCCTACATTGTACCTACAGATCCTAATTGATGCCAGCAAGTTACACAGGAATTATTTTTTAAGCCTAATTAAAAATCTTTTTTCTAGGTTTGATAACAAGTGCTTTAAAATGTAAGTAGTGATTTTTGTGGCAGGACTGAGGTTATTTTTTTTTATAGAATGACAACATGTGCCTTTTCTTTCCTAAAAATTAAATTTCACTCAAATCATGGTGGTATATAACACATTCCCTTTGTTATAAAACTGATATTTGGTTTTATGTATTCCTATATTTATGACATTTATGTTGGTCATGTAAATTTATGGAAAAAAACAAGAGAGCTAAAATACTGTTATATCACAACTATTTCTTTGTAAAAGTTGGTAGTATTTTGGTCAGATTAAAAACTTTAAACCTTCATCATTGTTCATGAACCTGCTACTTTGTGATCTAAAAAGTGCAAAGTAGGAATTTTGCCTCTTATCTTTGAATACACAATGATTTTTGTTTTTTAGTTTTCCTGAATAGAGCAACATGTATGTTGTTGGCTAGGGATTCAGATGGCATCAAAATTAAGCCGTATGCATGGGAAAAGATATAGATATATATTCATAATGCCAAGTAATTTGTATAGTTAAACTTGATGGTATAATTTCTTTGAACCTCAGTCAGAATGAATACAGCCAGTTAAGGTTAATGTGGACCCTTTTGCTAAAATGGCTCGTTTTCACTCAAAATTTACTCTTAGTACGGACAAACCTGTGCATCCGGAAAAGTTTTAAAGCATAGCA